GATGAATCATTGTTCAAGATTTTATTCCGCTCAGAAACTCCCATGCAGAGAAATGCCGTTTAGTCTTGTTAATTGGACTTTTTCAGTTTCACCGGGTTATTTCGAGGCACGTATGGGTGAGGCTGTTGAGGGGGCTAATAGCACTCTGCCTGTGATTAGTACCCCGAGCTTCGCAAAGTGCTTTCACGTTCATTATCTCATTTTCTTGTCAGGTGAACCGTGAGGTTAGGGATACAGATTATTGCCATTTTTTTCTGGCTGAGGCACTCCAAGCTTAGGTGTCACACAGTGAGTTAGTGATGGTCTCCTAGCTGGAGGCTGCAGGGTATAACAACTGGTTTTGCCAAGGGGAGGAGGGAATTAACCGGTCAGCACTTCTGAGCAGTAGCACTTCAGGCTTAGGGACATTGACTGGGCAGTTCAGTGGTTTTCAGCAGGGGCGACTTTGGCCCCCAGAGGCCATGGGTGGTGTCTGGCCCTGAGGACTGGGGATGTGCTACTGGCCTCTAGCGGGTGGAGGCCAGGGATGCTGCCCAGCACCCTACAATGCACAGGGCAGCCCCGCAACAGAGGTTATCCAGCCCCAAGTGCCGGTGGTGCCGAAGAGGAGAAACCGTGCCGGAGCCGCGGGGAGCGCTTGGCCTGCAGCCCTCAGAGCCCATCTTTACTTTCCTGAGCTGGTCCATTTACTCCCTTCTGAATGTTTCTTCTTTGGGGGTGGGTGGTAGAAATTATTACTTGGGATGGTGACTGGTGGCAGATTTAAGAGGCCTCTTCCGCCTGTGTTGAATGAGTGTCCTGCCCCGGAGGTGCTGCGCGGGGGCCAGCTGATGCGGCGCAGGTCCTGTCTGCACCGCAGGACTCCACTCATCCTGAGACCCGGCCTCCACTCTGCCCCTGGTTTTCATGACGTCCGCAGCATCTCTGTCCCAGTCGGCGTGGGAGGCGGGCAGAGCTTGTTCTTAGTACCCTTCCCTTTGGGTCAGAAGGAGGAACCGGCCGCTGAGGGTTAGAGTTGGGGAATTCTAGCCAGGACAGGGTGGAGCCAAGCAGACCCAATAGCCTTGGACTCGCTGGGACCGTGGGAGAGAGTCAGCCTAGAGAAGGAGAAGGCTTGAGTCCAGAGGAATGCAGCCGTGGAGGAGAGTGCTGGGGGAGGTGACCAGGGGCGTAGTGGGGTCACCGGTTGGGCTGGGGGTCACCCGTGGGAATGGGAGGTGGCGGGTGAACCGAGGGCACTGCTGGTGGGGCTAGTCTTGGGCGGAGGGTGAGCCGGGCTGCCTTCCCTGAGGCAGGGACAGTGAGGACAGAGCATGGGCCTGGAGCACGGAGGAGGGAGAGGGTCACCCCGAATGCTGTCCTCAGAGGCCGGCGGGCGGCACACCTGGCAGTGGGAGCAGCTGTGCAGAAGCCTGCGGGCCTTGGAGCTGGGCGCAGGGAGAAGCTGGAGGTGAGAGGAGCAGGCGGGTGGGTCCGTGCTTGGCACGGGTTGGTCCGCCAAGCCACAGAGTTGAGAATTCATACTGGAATTTGGTAGAAGCTGTCAGCTATTTTAAAACCAGCGATGGTTTTGCATTAAAGAGAAAGGAGAGTGACCCTCGCTGCGTGAAGGACCCGTGGATACCTTTGTCAGCCCGTCCTCTGCCGCTTCCCCCAGGACTCCCTGTCGGTGGAGGGCATTGCCCCTGTCCATTTGAGCGAGGCCGCCTGCCCCGCCTGTGCCCCGCCTTCCAACCTTGCCCCGCCCCCAGTCCAGCCCCTCTCCCCGCCACGCAGGCGCCGTTCGCTGCGCCTGGCCTCTTCCCTGCACACCTCGAGGGCTGAGTAAGAGCGAGAGCCGGCCCTGGTGCCCTCCGGTGACTTCTGGGAGGAAGTGTGAAGTGTTTAGCAACAGGCTACAGGATGGACGGTTCTCGGGCCCTCCCCTCGCCCTCCACGTTAGGTTCTTGCTGCTGCACTCCTGCCCTACCTGCTGGCTGGCCGCACTTGACCCCCTCGTTCCCTCCCTCCACCCCCGCCCCGGTGCCAACTCATCCTTCGGTTCATCTTAAAAGGCAGCTGGTTCCGCCTCTGTGACCCGGCAGGTCCTGCTGTCCCCTCGCTTGGGGCTCACTCCTGGGAGCTGTGACTCGCCAGTCGTTGGAGGTCTGGCCTCCGCCTTAGAGACGAGCTCCCCACGGGGACCGGCTGCGGGGAGCACAGAGCCGGTGAGGCCGCTGAGCCCTCGTCCCCAGGGCTTTCCCCCACTCTCTTGCTGGCTTGGCGGCCGAGGCGTGCGGCACACCCCGTGGGGTGGGAAGGCAGGTTCAGCTGAGAGGTGGGACCAGTGGAACCTTTCTTGACGCAGTTTCCATTCCCAGACTGGTGGAACTGGGGAGAAAAGCACCTGGGTCCTAGGACCTGGCCAAGTCTTTAAAAAGCAATGGCCTGAATGAAGGACCTAGTGCTGTCTTTCTGAGTGCCCCCCTGATCTGGCGGACCTCGTGTTGGGTAGCGTTCAGGCCCTGGCCTGTCTGGTACCAGGAACGAGCTGGATGAACAGAGAAGCGGGGCTGGTCTTTTTTACTGCATCTTCCTCTCCAGGAAGGTGCAGTGAAGGCCCGGGCTTTATAAAGCCTTTCAGCTGGGGGCACCTGGTTTGCCAGGTGTTCTGCTGTTGCTGAAGTGCCCCTGAGGGTTACGGGAGAACAGGTCACTCTGTCCCCTGTCATGACTCCCTGAAAGGAGAGCGAGCCGTGTAAAGGGTTGTTTTGCTCCCTGAGTAGGTAGTGGGGAGCTGGAGCTTTGGAACGGAGGATGAGGTGTGGTCGCCTGTCTCGCTGCTTCCGGAAGCTGTGAGATGACCCTGAACCTCCGAGTCAACACAGACCGTTTCCCAGGGTGTCCTGTTCCTCTGCTCCAGCTCCCCACAGGTGCAGATGCGGGGTGGGGGAGCCTGCCTGCCAGAGCTGATCTCGTTGTAGGGAACTCACCCTCAACACCCACAGAGTAAAAGGGATGGGAGCTGGGCCAGACGGTGCCGTAGAAAAGAGAATGAGAGTAGAAACGTAAACTCCCAAGTTCCTTATAGAAAAACCATTTAGCTTTCCTGTGCCGTCAAAAATGGTGTTGGCCGTTCCCCGCAGTAGTTGCTTTCTCGCTCTCCAACAAGGTGCTCTTGGGGTGTCTAGAGGGAGTAGCATGGACCTTTTCCAGGAGCAGGTGTTCGGGAAGTACTGGCCTGGGGAAGACTTGGGCGTATCTGTGAAATAAAGGAGGGCCGGAGAATGCTCTCTCTGCTAGGAAGCAGGGGGTGATGGAGCCTGCTCAAGGCTGGTGCCCATGACTGGATGAATACTAAGTGAGTAAATGTTTGTGTCTATCAGGTAGACCCCAAACACATCAGGTAAGGTTTCCGTGCCTTTTCCAGTCTAGACTGGAATTGTCTTCATCATATCAGGAGTCAAGGGCGTTTAAAGACTTGAGAAGGTGTTCCACATACAGTAAAACTTGGGCTGTTTCTTTATGATATCACAGACTTGACTCCAGATGTCAGGATTTATTTAAAATTTAAAAAAAAAATTTTTTTTAAATTCTTTAAAAATTTTTTTTAAATTTAATTAATTTTTTTTTTTTTTAAATTTTAAAAGAAACTTCCTATACAAGTGTAGCGCAGGCACGAGTGCCTCCCTGAAGTGAACACGCAGTCAGCATCATTGCCCTTCCTCCGCTACAGGTGCCACAGGCCGCCTTTCCTGGGCTTGAGCGTGCCAGGCGCTGCCCCCAGCCACTTAGCTTGCTGTTGGTGGGAAACACAGACAAGCAAATCTAAGTGAAGATCAGACCAAAGGTGCTAAAGTGGAGGGGGGGGAGGGGAGCTGGTGAGGGTTTTCCTGATTGAGGAAACTGCGCCTCAGTCCAGAAGAGCAAAACTTTCAGCATTGCTAGAGCCAGGGAGCAGCGAGGATGGGGCCTGGCGAGGGCCCTGCTTGCTCTGAAGAGCTCGGGCTCAGCTCCATCCTGAAGGTACCAAAGAGCCTAGGAAGGGTTTTGTTTGCTTTTCTTCTTTTTGATGCGCTTGAAAGCAACCGAGAGTGTCGCGTTAGCAGGGAAGCAGCCTGGCGCTTGCACACCTGCTCCGAGGCTGTGGACCGGGCACCGCAGGCCGTGGCAGGTCACCGCGCCCCCCCCAGCCTTCAAGCTTGCCTGCTGTGGCGCGGGCACTCACTCGGCCAGGCGCCCAGTCAGAGGCTTCAGAGGAAGTGTGCTCCTGACCCCGCACCGGTGTGCCCTCATCCCCCGGGAGGGCTGGGTGGGTGTTTGCTAGCCTGTTGGCTTTCAAGGGAGTAGCACTTTGGGATTTGTGTCTGAAAAGAACCCTGGAAGCCATGGGCGCTACGGGGCTTCAGGAGAGACGGACGGAAGAGACGCAAGACACGGAGGCTGGTGAGGGGGCTGGAGGACTGGGGCAAGGCTCGGGCCTCTCTGCTCTCCTGGATATCCCGGAGCAGGGGGACGGCGGCCTTCAGGGTGGCCGCCCAGCTCCGGAGCAAGGCAGTGGGTGACAGGCCGCACCAGCCATGCCACCTGCCCTCTGCGCATCTCAGAGCTGCAGGCGTGGGGGGAGTGGGGGGGGAGGTGGCCCAGGGCTGTGCTCCGTCGCCTCCTGTCTGATGCTCAGGGCGGGATGGGTGTGCATGGTACTGGCCTTGGGGACTGGTTCCCAAACCCTTCTGTGCCAGAGGATCAGCCACTGAGGTGGTGTGAAAACAGGCGCGCCCCTCGGAGCCCTGGTGCGGTAGCTGTGGAGCGCACTGCCGGGGGGGTCTGGTGCGGGGCCCCTCCGGCACAGTGCAGGCTTCCCACCCAGTTCTCACTCGGATGCACTTTTCTCGCTGTTGTGTATTTATAAAATTTTCTAGTTCCAAAATGACAGAGCAAAATACCCTTAGATTATTTAAAACAATCTTTTCTGCTTTTATTAAAAGAAATAATTTGCCTCTCTTTTTGTTTTTCTGTAGGACACTAAATTATGGATAATAATGGAATATCTTGGTGGAGGTTCCGCACTGGACCTAGTAAGTATCACGCTGGATGTTTAATATGCATCAGAGGTCTTCTCAGTCAGTCTTGCTTGTAAAGATAATTCTGTTTACATTTCTGTTTCCCTTTTAAGTTGCATGAAAAAAGGACCAAACTATTCCTTATAGTAGGGATTTCTGCTTCTGATAAGTTACCGTAAATTATAGATCTTTTTTTTTCCTAACATCTTTATTGGAGTCTAATTGCTTTACAGTGGTGTGTTAGTTTCTGCTGTAAAACAAAGTGAATCAGCTATATGTATACATATATCCCCATATCTCCTCCCTCTTGCGTCTCCCTCCCACCGTCCCTATCCCACCCCTCCAGGCGGTCACAAAGCGCCGAGCTGATCTCCCTGTGCTATGCGGCTGCTTCCCACTAGCTATCTGTTTTACATTTGGTAGTGTGTATATGTCCATGCCACTCTCTCACTTCGTCCCAGCTTACGTCTGCATATAGATCTGCTTTTGAAGACAGCTTTGCTATTTCATGGGAAACCAGTGAATTCATTCCAAGCAGCCATGAAGGATGTCGCCTGCTGTGTCTGACTTAATAACAGTTTCTTATTTTCTAAAACTGGTTTTAACTTTTGTGGAGCTGGTACCCCATCATTGTTTCATGTTTCGGATGGTAACTTCGCTTCTAAAATATGCGTGGAACATCTTCATTTATGATTAATCAGAACTAGAATTTTTAAAAATTAAAATTTCATTTCAGAGGTAGGAGACGGGCACAGTATCACAAATGGGAGCTGCCGCTGGGCCAAGCAGGAACGCATGTTTCTGTTTACCGGATGCACACGCAGAGAGGCCTTGCTGCGCTCCCAGTGTGGCTGTGGTGGAGCTGGACCCCTGCCAGTGGCGGTGCTCCTACCTGGTCTGGACCTAGGTGTCCAGCCCACACACATGGTAGAGGCAGCTCCGGTGTAGGATGACCTCAAAGTCACAGTCTGTAACTCCCCTCTTGTGGTAAAACATGGTTACATGTTGGCCTCTGATGAGGTGCTCAGAAATAACCAGTAAATCGTGGGCATTACTTAAGTCGTCCTTGAGACACAATATGTGCAAAACAAATTAAAAAAATCTCACACGGTTGTTTCGCCCCTGACATTTCATCCCCACGTGGTTATGCGGTGAAATCAACGGATCAGCGCTCTTTCCCTGCCCGTCCTGTAAAAGCTGGGCTTTTGGGTGAGTGGTGATTTCCAAGTCAGGCCTGATCTATCATTTTAGTGTTAGAGTGTGGGTTCTGCTTGCTAGACGGTTGTCAGGGTGGTAGGTCTGCAGTTTTCACTGGTCTCACAGCTGAAGGAAGCTAGCGTTTTTTGGTGGTTACAGTTGACACAGATTTTTATTCACTAAGAAAAGAAATACCCTTTGGTTAAAAGGAGTTTACTTTCTCACAGTAATAGTAACAATTAGTATTTTGGGGGGAAGGTAGAACCTCTAGAACTGTATGTATCTCTGAAAGGCTTATGTACCCAATTTAAAAAAAAAATCACATAATGTTATAAACCGTAAAAGCAATTGGTTAAAAGGAAAGTTCAGGGGAAAAATTTAATATGGTATAAACAGTGGTATTAAAATGGAGAAAGCAGCTGGACAAATTTTATGACTTCCTTTGCTGCTTTTCTGTAAATATACATATGACACAAAGAGCTTTTCTTTTTTTTTTTTTTTTTTTTTTACTCCTTTGGGAAATACTACAGAAATGTAGAAAATTGCCTCGTTTTGTATAATTCGATTTACTATTATCTTAAGTGAATTTCATTTGTGGCATGTATAAAATGATTTGTGGGGACTCTTTTCCAACATTGAGTCTTTCAGAACAGCAATTCTAGTCTCTAAATGCTTTAGTTTATTCATTCTTAATGCCACAATAATTTATTTAGTGGTAACTTTCTTTGGAGCTTTGAAGTCTGTGAAATTTTAGACATTACAGTTGGAAGGAAGTGTCGAATTCTCCACTTATTAACTAAAATCCCATATGGTGCGAGTCCCGGCAAACTGCCGTCCATCTTCCACATCAGGGGCTCTGGTGACAAGAACCAGGCATCCCTTTTTGAATGTGCCCAAATCGTCTCATTTTACTCGAAGAAACAGAAATACTCAGAAGTTAGGTGTGCCAGCTAGCAGATAGAGCTGGACATTGGACCTTGTTGTAACCAGCTGCAAAGCCCTGACCCCGCGCTCTCCTTTCCCTCCCTCTGACTTTGTCGTATCTTTCTTCATCTCTTATTCCTTTTCTGTTGGCCTGACCCCAGTCCTCAAAGAAGATGCACTTTAATAATAGGATACAAGAGTTTTGTGAATGTTGAAGACTATTAAGATTATTTTGAGAGTGTCTATTAAATGTTTACACAAGATTCTAAAAACCAGAGTATTGTTGCATATGAAGATTTGTTACCAGGTAGCTGAATATGTGGATTTGGGGCATTTCTTAGAAAAATCCCACCTTGCTTTTGTTCTTGTTTTGCGGTACACAGGCCTCTCACTGTCGTGGCCTCTCCTGTTGCGGAGCACAGGCTCCGGATGCGCAGGCTCAGCGGCCATGGCTCACGGGCCCAGCCGCTCCGCGGCATGTGGGATCTTCCCGGACCGGGGCACGAACCTGCGTCCCCTGCATCGGCAGGCGGACTCTCAACCACTGCGCCACCAGGGAAGCCCCCACCTTGCTTTTGTTTAATATCTCTCTGTTAAGAGGCACAGTGCCGATATGTTTGTATGTCTCTGGAGCAGCCCCTGTACATGAAGCCTGTGGAGGGAAGGATGACGGTGTCCTGTTCAAGGGCAGGGCTCTGCCGTTTCCCAGAGCACGAAGATCTCGCCGGCTCTCTCCTCACTCTAGATTCATCCTTTCTCTTCGTGCACTGGGGCTGCTGTAATGAAATACTGGAGACTTGGTGGCTTTTTTCACTCTACATTTTAGTTTTCGTGCCTTTTTACTTAGGTTGTGAGACATTAGTTTAATTCCCCGCATTGAGTCTTAATAACACCTTAGCCAGGGCGGGAAGATGGTGCCTTCCTTCACCTAGGATTGCCTTGTGAGCATGTGTGATAATTTTTTTTGGCTTTCTTTTCATTCTGGAATTGAGCTTCCAAGTAGAGGCAGACAGTTGATTATATCGCATGTGGGAAAGTGCTACAAGGAAAATAAAGCAGCATGAGGTGAATTGGGAGAAGGGGAATGAGGATAGCAACAGAGGGCCTGAGACCGAAAGATTTTTCACTGACTACAAGATGAGTCAGTATTATAGGAGAATCTAAGGGGCAACCGTGGAATCTTAATTAAGAAGGAACTAGGCTACATAAATTGGTCACTCAGTCAGGCAGAGATATTTGACAAACTTAAAAATGAATATGCCACATGAATTTTAGAAAATGAGATGACATGTTCATTTATGTTCAGGCCAAGCTGCTGTTGTGGTGGCCTCCAAACAGTGTCTCACACGAGATGGAACTTCCTCTCCCACACGTGGGCTCAGTGGTCTCCGGGCTCTGCAGGGGCGGGTGGCTTCCCGTGGTCTTGAGTCCTTGTCTTCTCTGGCTGCCGGCGTTTCAAAGCCAAGACCGGGAAGGGGCACTTCTGCAAGTATTCCTTTGGCGAGAACTCAGTCATGTGGCCAGACTTGCTGCTGCAGAGGCCGGCAGATACGGTCTCTAGTTGGGTGGCCGTGTGCAGGCCGAGAGTCTGTTACAGAGGAAGAGGGGAAAACAGGTTTGGGAGGGGGAATTAGAGGTCACCCAGAGAAGAGGAGCCGTCTACATCTTTTTTTTCCTCTGAGTCTTTCTTTTATAGAGATTATTTGAAGATTCCACAGTCTTCTTAATGAAGAGACTGCTTGGGAATGTTAGTGGTGGAGCATGTGAGTACCCACCAGCCAGGAGCTCTGTGCTCTAGGGAACAACTGAATACCCTTTACAGTGGATTTTGACACCTTGAAGGATCTCCCTGCTCTGTAAATAGAGTCTCTCTCTTCCTGCCCCCGCCTATGAATCATTGGTGGGTGGTGTTCAGGCCAGATTTAAAAGGGCATAACCATATATATATATCAGTCGGAGAGCCAGCTCTCAAATGGTCCAGCAGAAGATGTTTCAGTTCGTGTTCCTCAGTCTTCTCTCTCCTTGGTGATGACTCCAGGCTGCTCCGCCGTTTCTTTCCAGACACTTGATCACAGGAGGGCGGAGGTGGGTAAGTCCAAGTCCAGCCAGACGTTCCTGGCTGTCTGCCTGGGTGAAAAGCTGCTGCAGGAGGGGATGGAAGCCCCGCTCTGGGAGAGCGTTTTGAACGGTGGGGTTAGCCTTCTGTGGTCTGTACCCGGGGCATAAGAGCAAATTCGCCAGCGTCTCTGCCTCCTTCCTCTTTTTCCCCAGGCTGTGAGAAAAGTGCATTTTCCTCATTTTGAGTATTAAAATTCCCCCACTCTGTGAACTCAGAAGTAGATGTGGAGCCGGCAGACAAGGCAGGGTTTCCGGATCGTGTGCTTAGGAACAGTCGTTTCGATGTGTTTCTTGAGAACAAGACTCTGGGTCAGACAACTTGGGGAGGAATTAGGTTCCGCGGAACAGAGTGTGCAGTGGGCCGCCCTGGTCTGTGGCCGTCGCGGGCGGGATCCTAGTTAGGACTTGGAGGACTTCCTGGGGGACTAGTTACCTGTCAGTGTGACTTCTGTAGCACACCGTGAAACAAAAAGCAAGGAGCCTCCCTTCCACCTGGGTTCTGAGTGTGAGAAAGTGGCTTGAGCACGGGGGCCCCGCTGCCAGACGGGCCAGAGTCCCAGAGAGGTGGCCCCGACTTCGAGAAACACCCCCTTCCTCCCGGGCTTCGTGGATTTTCATGGGTCAGGTTGGGCCTGTGACCAGCTCGCTGGATGGACCAGAAAGTGGGGCAGCTGCAATCGCGCTGTTATGAAGTGAGAAGGGGGTTCTCTGTGCCCCGACCTGGGCCCAGAAACGATCAGCTGTTCCACCACCACCATCCCACTGAAGGCCCTGAGACAGCAGGACTTGTCTGTCCGAGAAAATGGACGTGTCCGTCGGAACGCTACCTCAGAAGGCGTGTCTTGGTTTCCATTCCCTTTGGTTTAAAGCAAATCTGTCTCTTTCACACCTACTCGGTGAGCATCGTGGAATTGTGTCGTCCCGTTGACTTACGTGTGTCAATTTGGGTTATGGTGGAATTCACTGTCAAGTCTGAAAACGTAATACCGAACATCATCATTCAGATGAAAAGTTAAATTGTTAGAATTCTGCCCCTTTCTCTGACGCTTCCACTGTTTGTTCTTTGGGTGGAGTGTTAGGTGGTTTTGCTGAGGTAGTTATGCGATTGGTGGTGGTTGAGTTCCCTGCTGTACAGGTGATGGTAGGCTTACTGTCCAGTTTGAACTGAGCTCTAGAACTTGTCTGAGTTTCTTTCTTTTAGTGGGGATGTGTGTACCTGACTTGTCTGCCTTACATCTTTGTATAACTAACAGCAGTGAGGAGTCAGTGTCAATTCCTTCGAGTTTCCTTGAAATATTTATCCTCAGGCAATTATTATGTCATTTGGGGTAATATACTAACTAATGTTTTTATTACATAACATACGTGTGTATATATATTATATCACATAAAAAAATTCAGTCATGAGGGATTGAGCTCTTTTCCGCTCTCTTCCCCCAAGTTTTACAATTCAGATGTAAGAACTTCCGGTGCTGGGGTGGCCTCAGAAAGCAGCCAGCCCCCGGGCCTTCTCTTCTTGACCCCTTGTGTTGCGATAACCGTCACCTCTGCTAGGACAGAGCCAGGCTGCTCTGCCCCCTCCCTGGCAAGCACTGCGAGGCGCTGGGCTTTTGCTTTCTGGACTGTCATCCGTCCCAGCTCAGCCGGCAGGCGTGGCAGGCCGACCGCGGCCTTTCTCACTGGCCCGGCTTCGATTCTTAGCCAGCTTTGCTTCATCCAGCAAAGTCACGTTCCCCGGTTCTCTGTGGAGATTTTTAAAAGGGGCTTGTAATTAGGTTTTAATTCTGTTTGGGAGTGAAGAAGATTTCAGGTTTGATTATTCTCATCCATTTAACATTGGCTGTTCTGTCATCTCACACTTTTTCATCTAATCATTTAAGTAACTTTAATCTTGTTTTTTCTTGTTAGTTAGAACCTGGCCCTTTAGATGAAACCCAGATTGCTACTATATTAAGAGAAATACTGAAAGGACTTGATTATTTGCATTCGGAGAAGAAAATTCATAGAGATATTAAAGGTGAGAAAACCTCTTGTTTATATTCCTTTGAAATACCCAAGGTGAGGAAGGAGTGTTAGCTGTAGAGTTTGAACCGTGCTTCTCTTCTCAAGGGACGTTGTCCTGTGGGTATGCCTTCGACGTGCCTGGGTAGGTGGGCCGGGCCACGAGGGGGTCTCACCAGAAGCACAGCCCTGGTCCCTGTTCTTGTCGGGCACGTGATGGTGCTGGGGCACGCGTGTGCCTGGTCCCAGATGGTAGCGGGCGGAACTCTCCAGCAGATGACGGCAGGAGACGTCTTTGGTTCTGTTTTACAGCTGCCAACGTCCTGCTCTCTGAACACGGAGAGGTGAAGCTGGCGGACTTTGGAGTGGCGGGCCAGCTGACAGACACCCAGATAAAGAGAAACACCTTCGTGGGCACCCCTTTTTGGATGGCGCCTGAAGTCATCAAGCAGTCGGCCTACGACTCAAAGGTGAGGGCGGCGCCTTGGCTGGCGGGCCAGAGGAGCCTGAGGAGTGGGGGAGGGCAGAGGGCCTTGGACAGAACTCTGAACCCTATTGAAGGGGCAAGGGCAGAAAGGATCCCACAGGAGAAACGGAGAGTGCACAGAACTGGAAGGCCAGCACCTGGGCAGAAGAGTGCTCTCCGGGCTGCTGCACACCCTCCTGTCCTCGCCTTTAGATGCCCCCCTGCTGGGATCGTGTCCTCAGACGCTCCTTAGCAACAAGAGGCAAAATCGTGATTCCCTTTTCCAGCCTCTTTTACCCGTCATATGATGCACTCTCCCAGTTTTTCCTGTCTTCTTTCTTCCCCGTTGCCCTTCAGCTTTCTAAAACTGTTTAATATAGACTCAAAAAGCCCAGAACCCCCGCCTCCTAGACCTCATTTCAGTCTCGCGTCCCACACCGGCTCTGTCTCGGTCGCCTGAATGCAGTGAGATCTCCACGTGGGCCACAGAGAATAGGCTTCTCTAAACCGGTATTTCTAGGCAAACAAATATTTAACTCAGATACACTGACATGCCAAACACCATTTCTTCTCTTTAAGTGGAACTCTTCTCAGTACCTGGCAGATCCCCACCTTGTGAAGCATTGCACACGGAGCGTAAGGGTGGCTTTTCCTGGGGACCTAAGCTCGGTGTGGTGAGCTGTTGCGTTGGTGCTGGAAGTTGCTGGAGTGCGTGTCCATCGCGGCAGAGGTGGACCCGGCCCTCTCACTGTTGAGTTGTAATGGTGGCCGTGACTCCCATAGGCGTCCTCGTGGCCTTGGTAGCCAATGGCCAGTAAGTGACGATTAGGTTTTCAGCCCTCAAGGTAGCAGAGCTGTCTAGTCTCTGGTGTGTCTGTTGCCTGTGGGCGCCTTGGCCCTGGGGTGGGTTTACCGCCATAGCTACTTCTGATGTCAGCAGCAGCTTTTGCTGTTGTCCCTTTTCCTGGGGTCGTATCGTTGGAAGACTCAACAGGAACTTAGGTGTTCAGTTCCTTCTCTTTTTTTTAAGCTGAGGCCCATTTATCAGAGTTCTCAGGTCTAGATTTTGGCAGGGCTGGGGCCAGAATCCAAGCCTCTTAACTCATCTGATCACACCCCGCTGATCCTTCTCTTCTTTTCCTTTCTGGTCGGTGAGCTGGTCAACCGTGGCCCCCGTGACTCAGGATGCAGATCTTGCCTTTTCAGTGTTGCTCACCACGGCTCACCTGACGCTTCTTCAAGAATTGTCCGGGCTGCCTGAGACCTTCCTCCCCCGCCTTTCTTCCTGGGCAGGGCCTCTCTGGGTGTTTGCTGAAGGTGGCCTCGGCACCGTAGCGATCCCACGGCATCGTGAAGCTTTGTCACCTTTTCCCTGGAGCTGTCGAGATCAGAATGCTCCTGTGTGATCAGTAGATGCTGTGGTGTTTTTTAGGCAGATGAAAAGACACTGTCGCAGACTTACAGGGAATGCACGCTTGGCTGGGGAGCTTAAGAAAGCGCGTCACGTTTCGTGCAAACCCTTAGCTCCCTTACCCTTTCCTCTGGCTTATGGCAAAAGCCAGTCCTTCCGTTTGCTTGGATCAGACCCAACAGCTCTTAGCTGGAACTCATTGTGAAGATGTCTGTGAAATTCTCTTCCCAGGTTTGTTGACGCAGGAGGTGTGGGAAGTGCAGATAAGGCTCAGGACCTGAGTCCTGAGGTCTGTCAGGAAAGGCTGCCAGAGGCTGGGGCCTGAGGGTGGGAGCATGTGCCCCTGGGCTGGCCGCTCTTGTCTGGAGCAGTGCCTGACGAAAGACCTGTTTCCAGTGATTGCCCCCGTCTGAGGCTCGTCTGGCGGGGCGGTTACGCTCTTTGACGGGCACGTCTGCTCTGCCGGTACACACACTCGGCCTCTTTCCAGTCCCCCCGTCTGTCCTTGCGTGTCTGTCTGGCCAGTGTCCCCACTAGTCTCCGCGTGACAGCTCGAGAGCTTGCAGCCCCGGGGGCCCTGGGGAAGCAGGGTGCTCTCGGCAGTTCCATGTTGGGGCACACGTGCTGATTCTCAAAGGCAGGTGGGGTTGGGGTGAGGATGGACTGTACCTGCCTCACCAGCATCCTCGCGTCCCTGAACTGAAGGGGGTGCTGGCCTTAAGTCTCGTGTGTGCGTCTAGAGCCCTGCTTGACACAGTCGTCTCTGGGACCCGTGCATTTGGCCCCTTGTCGTTTGCCAGGGCTGAAGATGCCGACCTCAGCTCTTGAGCTGAGCACAGCATGTCTAAGTCGTGTTGGCCCATATGCCTTAAGAGGCATATTATTTTTAAGGGGACTTGGGGTGGCTTAGTGTAAGGAGTCCCCAGACTGTGGAGATGGGGCCACAGGAGTGAGCTCTGCTCTGCCCCCCGGGAAGCCTGTGGGATCAACGATGGAGCCGGGGTCTTCGGCGAAGAACCTCCATCTTTTTCCCCTTCCTTTGTAAGGATATTAGGATGGTGTGTTAGTGGATGGATTGGAGACTTGGGTGAGAGCCTTGTCCCCTTCTCTGTACTCATCCCTTCTGTCCTTGCCGTAGCTGAGCCCAGCGCTGTGCTGAAGATTTACGTCTTCAGTGAGTGAGTGCGACACTGCATGTCGGGCGCTCTGACAGGGAACGGAGTGCAGGGGTGCTGAGAGGAGGTCGGAGTGATCTGGGGAGGGCTTCACAGACACAGGCTTTTCAGCCCTTCCGAGACGAGGGAAGGACATTCAGACCAAGCCCACTGGGGGAGAGGAGAGCCATTGGCGCTGGAATTGTAGGTTGAGGAGAAGAACGTGGTAGACTTCCTGTTAACTAAACGACTCCCGTAGAGGCTGAGGGGCCAGTGTCAGTATTCTCCTGTAAATAACTTTCCCTTTTTTTGGTCTCAAAAGGAGCACATAGTCTTTAATCTGGAAAGTACCGGAAAAAATGAGATGAAAAGAAAAGCATCTGTAGGCCTAGTACCCAAGCACAAGCTAAGTTATTTTGGTGTCCAGTCATGTCTGAAATAACTGTTTGCAGTCTAACCATGGTGAAAGATGGAAACAGTGGTGTGTTGATGGAAAAAAAAAAGATGAGTGGAAACACAGTGGGATTGGCCGTCAGTTGGAATCTGAAAGGCTAGCCTGTCCACTGGCACGTGACTGGCCCTCCTTTCCCGATGCCAGCCCATGGACTCCCCTGGTCCGTCTTCAGGACCAGGAATTACCCACCTCCTGGCTAATGCGCCCTGGAGGTGGGGGAAGGATGCGAGTGGGAAAAGCATCCAGCTTGGGGACTCATGACAGGTTTTATCCTAGCATGAAGTGATGGTTGGGCCGTGTATTGCTATGGAGTTGCTCATAAATGGTTTTATACCTCTAGATGCCACTTACTAATGTGTTCCTAAATATTGCCTCTAATTAAGCAAATAGTTTCTATTAAATCCATGAGGTATGTTTTTGACTAGTTGTAACTGTTACTTGGGGTTCTCCGTGTTTTTTTCCCTCTTCCTCTTGTGGTTCTTTTTTCTTTTTTTTTGGCCACGCTGCGCAGCATGCAGGATCTTAGTTCCCCAACCAGGGATTGAACCCATGCCCCCTGCAGTGGAAGCGCAGAGTCCCAACCACTGGGCTGCCAGGGACGTCCCCCTCTTGCAGTTCTTTGTACAATATCTGGTATACATAAATTTTTTATGCCACTTACATTGTATTTTGACTGCAGAGATGTAGGCAGCGTACTTTTACTTAACTTGGTACTGCAAGGATTTGGAGAGTAGTTGTATCCTGGTAGCACCCCACTTGCATCCCCTCACCCCTGTTGCTCATCGGTAGCAGATAATTCCGTGTTGTCCCTTTTAGGGGAATTCTATCCAGAACTAACCACATATGGAGAAAAAAAATCTGTTCACAGAGAAATACCTGCAGTTCAGGGCCCCTGCCTTTGTAACTTTGGACTGAGGCTCATAGTGAAAACCTCTGTTTGTTTTCTCTTAGTAGCTAAATTTCCTATCTTTCCCACATGGTGGTAAAACAGTTCTCTTCTTACACCTCAATTGCTTTGGAAAATGACTGACCTTTCCCACATAACTTTTATTTTAAAATCCAGACACATGTTCTAAATCTGATGCCATATCTTGTAGATGAAGTGATAGCATATCGTAAGTACAATTGAGTCTGTGTGTCAGCATCGTTGTTGAGTACTTGATACTTCAGGAAGTTAATGTGCCGTAGCCACGCAGTCATTCTGAGCTTTAGCATAAGTAATGCTGCTGTTGAATATTTTGGGCAGCCTTTACCGTTTTCTAAATATAAAATTTATTTAGGGTAGATTCCTAGAAGCGGAATGAATTGCTTTCAACGAGGGTGGATATTTTTATGGGTTTTGCTACATGATGCCGAATCGCTTGCCGTTTATTCCAGTGCCAGTCGAGGTTTCCAAATTCATCAGCAGGATGTGAGACGTCTACAGAGGGAGGCTGCAGGCAGGAAGGCCTCTCGGGAGCCCCCCACAGAAGTCCCAGGGACGGAGGACAGCCCTGCACTAAGCCAGGGGCAGGAAGGGGACCCAGGGCACCGGGAGGTCAAGAGCGGCACGCCTGGCACCTGGCTGATTTAGGAGGATCCAAAGAGAAGTTCAGGGGGGCGGGCCGGGCCGAGGCTCGGGCTCCTGGCCTGGCTGCCTGGGGGAGTGACACACGTCTTGTCTTGATGTGGCTCTACTGGTGACCCTCCCAGGGGAAGAAGGTGAGAGCAGTGCCTGTGCCTCTTCTCTGAAGACCTGGGAGGCGCGTTATGGGTGGGGCTGGGAAGGCTGTTATACATCGGTCGACTTCAGTTGGTCTGTATTGTCAGACAGGAAGCAGGTGCAGGTCCTTGAATTCTTGCTGCCTGTCAGTTGTCCGGCCCGGAGCCTGATAGCAAGCCCTCAGGTCTCTGAAGGAAATGAGCACAGGCTCGTTTCCCGTGATAGGCTGCTAGCGGACACCATCATCGGCTGGGCTTTCCAGAAACAGAGTGTATTGAAGTGATTACGGGACGCTGGGGGGTCTGGAGGTGCATCCCTCAGGGATCATCTCTATCTACATGGCTGTAAGCCAGGTTGTTGTCGAGTGGCAGGCTTAGCAAACAGTAGCCGTTGAATGAAATCCAAGAGAGGCAGGCAGCTGCGGAGTTGCACAGACTTGAGAAAGGAATCGCGACCGTATAGGAGTCGTGTACTCGTCATTTTTGCCTCTGTTCTTGCAACTCGCCCTTTCTCCTTGTACCTGTGCCCTTCCTCCTGTCCTCCTGCGGCCGCCACGGTTACAGATGCTCACTGCACCCAGCTTCCTCCTCCTGGGGGTCGGACCCTGGAACACATCACACCTCTGCTGATTTTTAAAGTAGAGCACGTGTAAAATAAAGCAGAGGAAAGGAAGGTAGGAACATTACTCCCGATACTGGATCTTCCAGATTCATCCCTTTAGTACAAACTGAGTGCAAAGAGTTTACAAGGCTTGCCGTCTGTGATTCCCGCCTTCACTGGAACAGAAGGAAGTAGAAGGTGTGCTGGGCATCGTCCCCACCAACCGCTGCCCAGGGGAGATTGTTGCTAGGACTTCTCGTACGTCTTAGGATTGTGGGAACGTGGCAGGTGAGCCCTCTCTAGGTTGTTAAAGGTTGGGAACGTCTGGGTCCTGGGGCAACCTGCTCAGCGTTCCAGCCTTTCCGTTTCCCTGCCGTGGAGTTGGGAGTGAGGGATGTGTTAGGTTCTGACGTAATTGCCTGGAAGTAGGATGGCTTTGCGGTGCTGTGACAGGAGCAGGGAGGTCGTGTAGGCCGAGTGCAGGAGGCCGTGCCCCTCGCCCCGTTCTTGGCCTGCCTGTGGGGTCCCGCTTCACTTTCGGCTTCTGTCTTCTTTGCTGTGGCTTGGTTTCGGCTTGTGAGAAAGCCTGCGAACCAGAGTGCTTCTCATTCCCAGCACACGGTCAGGGAACCCATTCATGTGCACTGAGCAGGTGTGGCCACAGCCTGGGCCGGGCAGGAGGGTTGGGCAGCTGGACAGCAGCTGCCCTGCTCGGCGCCTCATTCTTGCCGACAATGAACATGACCGAGGCTCTAGATGTAACTGACCTGTCACTCAACCGGAAGTGAGGAACCGGAAGAACTCATGCCTGGCAGCAGGAAGGAGCCAGAGGAATCTGGAATTTGGGGCCTCTTTCTCCCTTAGGCCAGTGGCACTGGGGAGACTGGGAGTGGACAGTTCTAGATTAGAAGAGCCTTAGCTGACCTACCAGTCAGAGCAACACATGGGCCTTGCTTGGATCCTGATTCAGATAGACCAGACCGTGAGAAGACTTGTTTTGAACAGTTGAGAAAATTTAATTAGTACATGATATTGGGTAATTATTGTTAATTTTAGGTGTTGCTAAAAGCCCCTACGTTGGCAAACTGAAAAAAGTCATGACACCTGTGATTTACTTTAAGCTGTAACGGCGATAAAACAGCCTGTGTGGCGGATTGTTCACTCTTAAACCCTGTGATGGGCATGTGGGGATGCCTCAGGTTGATGTCCTCTACCTCTGTGGGTATGTGGGCATCCTCGCTAAGTCCTGGGTGCCACGTGACGCATCTTGCACGACCACCCTTAGCGTTCGTCCCAGTTTACAGAGGAGGGAGCTGGGCGCCACAGGTGGGGTGTTCTGTCTCAGGTCGCAGGACCAGCTGGAGAGCTGGCCTTGAACCCCGTCCGAGGCCCGGCTTCTGAGCATCGCTGGACAGGGTGGTTCGCAAACACGCTTTGGCCCCTGGACACGCCCTCCCCGCTCACCTCGGGTTCCCTGTTCCCTTGACTCGGGGACCTAAATGAGCGTGGGATGTCTCCCACCTCCAGCAGCAAAGGCAAGAGGAGAAATCATTAAGAGCCGTCTTCCATGTCGAGGCAGAAGATGTTCTGTGCGTTAGCTTTTCGCCTGGGTGTTGCCTATTTTGAAATGATACCAAAGGCATATCGTTTCTTATTTTGAGTCAAGAATGAGTATCCTTTTCAAAACCTTAGAAGCACGTTGAGATGCTTTTCCTCTGAAGTACGGCTCTTTGAATGCTTTGCTGTTGCAGGCAGACATCTGGTCCCTGGGCATAACGGCGATCGAGCTTGCCAAGGGGGAGCCTCCGCATTCCGAGCTGCATCCCATGAAGGTTTTATTCCTCATTCCAAAGAACAACCCCCCGACGCTGGAAGGAAACTACAGCAAACCCCTCAAGGAGTTTGTGGAGGCCTGTTTGAATAAGGAGCCGAGCTTTGTGAGTATTTTGAGATCAGAACGGGCGTCTCCTCCTCTGGGGCCTGATTGGTCAGGATACATCTTACTTGGCATTTTTCTTTAATCACTATTATCAGCTGTCTTCGTGATTTCATTTATTTTTCTTTTTCTAAATGGGTGTGATTAATTGCTTTGAATTGCAAATTCGTTTTTTATTGTTATTTTATCTTTTAAGGATGAAAAATCTACTTATTTTCTTTCAGATTTTCTAGTATCTCATACCTCATTGAACTTGAAGACTGTTCTCCTTAATATTATATGTGGAATCATACATTTTTAATATTTATAGTGGAGGGTCAGGCTATTTAGCCGTTTTAGTAACTGCAAAGTCTGGCCTGAAAAACAGTGGCTAATAGGTATTTAAAGTAAATGTTTTCAGTTTCTTCTGGGCATGTGTCAGGAAGGAAAAGAGGAATGAGATAGAAATGTACGCCCACCTTGCTTTCCCCTTTTCCTTCTTACTGTCTTTGCTGTTGAGTTGACTCTGGGAGAGCCATGTGGCAGTGATGGCAGCATGGCTTTAGCCTAGTTTTCTCTCTGAATTAGGGCTTTTTAAAAAAAGTTGTCTGGGCTTCCCTGGTGGCGCAGTGGTTGAGAGTCCGCCTGCTGATGCAGGGGACACGGGTTCGTGCCCCGGTCCGGGAAGATCCCACATGCCGCGGAGTGGCTGGGCCCGTGAGCCATGGCCGCTGAGCCTGCGCATCCGGAGCCTGTGCTCCGCAACGGGAGAGGCCACAACAGTGAGAGGCCTGCGTACGGCAAAAAACAAAAAAATGTTGTCTATGTATCTGGGGTTGCATGGAGCACCACACGTCCTTGTTTTGTTTCTGAGTTTTCCAGCAGGGTTAGCCGAAGGTCAGGCTGAAACTTCTGAACCAACCCCCCCACCCCACACCCGCCCCCCGCCTTCTTACGGACCCTTATCTAAAAATATGTGGTTAGTTTTACAAGAGCACCATGCTTTTCTAATGTGATACCAGTTTTGGTAATGGAATTCAATGAGGAATGCAGCGTTTTCTAAGAACCTCCAGGGGATGCAGAGTACACCACTCATCGTGCCGGGCGGGCTGCTGTTCTTTGTGTCCGTGGGGCTCGGGACGCTGTTATCAGGAGTCTGTTCCGAGCCCCGAGAACACACACCCACGTGCCTGCACATCTTCCCATGACAAGCGTGTTTGTGGTGTCGGCTTGCTGGCCCAGTGCACACATCTCCACCCCGACCTCTAGCCCAGACGCCCTGAGGAGAGGATGCGATGCTCGGAATTAGACACGTGGACAGGGACTGAGAAATGCCTGAAAAACCCAGGTTTTGCGCAGGCTTGCGTTTGAGAAGCGAGCCTGGCTCTTGTTTAGGAAGCTTTAGTAATTCAGAGCAAGTGGGGACACGGTCTGACTCGCGTGATTTGTGTGTTCCCGCCGGCCGCTCCCGTTTGGGCTGTGTGGTTTTCTTGGGAAGCATACTCCCTATAGTTGGGTTTGCCACTCTCAAGGGCAAAGCGAGTGGCCGAGTTCACTGGCCGTGCTGAGCCCAGAGCCTGGATGAAGTCCTCACCCCGATCACAAGGGAAAAGGCAGACCTGGGAGACCAGCATTTCTGAATTGGGAAGGCTGATGACTAAGAGAACGTGGGTACCCTTTCAGCGTCCAAGGAACGGGTATCTCCTGGCTTTCTTCCAGTTGGATTTAAATTAACATTTACCTTATTGTTTGGGAGGACAGAGCCAAGCAGTAAGATAGAAAGTTAGCCAGGTGATACAGAACGTGTTTTCTCTCTTGCCAGCGTTAGCAACGATGATTGAATGATGATCTGTGAAATGCTCTGCAACATTTTCTTTGTAAATGCATTTTTCTGGGGAGGGGGTTCCTGCTTTCATCAGATGGTTACCTCCAGAATGTTAAGGACCCCATTAGATACTGGATACCTTGTCCACACTGTGAACGGGATCCCCCCCACAGGAGCCAAATGACCTTCTTTGACTCGGTCTTAAAGGAAACAGCTTTGAAGCAGGACTCTGTCTTTACGTGTCAGCTTGGTTGCTGGGCGTTTTGAGGCAGAAGTCTGTCCTTTGGGGTGGAGTCAAGTAGAATGTAGAGAACTTGACCTCATGCCTTTTCTCTCTGCTTCGTTTGGTTTGTTTTCCAGAGACCCACCGCTAAGGAGTTACTGAAGCACAAGTTCATAATCCGCAATGCAAAGAAAACATCCTACCTGACTGAGCTCATCGACAGGTACAAGAGGTGGAAGGCCGAACAGAGCCACGAAGACTCCAGCTCCGAAGACTCGGACACGTAAGTCCACGCGGCCCGAGTCCTGCGGGACGTCCGTGACTGGGGGACGTGTCCCCAGCCCCAGGCCGTGTCTGAGCCCCAGGCCGTACTGGATGTGGGCCTGTTCATTCTCATCTCTTGGTTGGGGTGGGTTTTGGGTTTCCTTTTTCTTTTCTTTTTTAAAAAAAAAAAAATCCAGGCTGATGGTGCTTCTTGTGTTAGTATGGGACTATATTTGGGAGTCTTTGAGTCTCTTTTCGTTGCCAGTGGAGTTTCTCTGAGTAAAATCTGTGACAGAGCTGTGCGTAAAGAACTAGACCTGGTTTCTTCTTCCTTCGTTATACCTCCTACTTTTAAAATGCTACTGATGAGGTGAAATGGCTTTACATATATTTCTAGAAAGGTATACATGAGGGTATCAGTGATCCTGTGTTGTGTTCTGGTGTGCCTGGCGTCGTAAAAGCTCTGTGCCAGGAAGTTACTATAAACTGGTGTCAAGCTAAGCATCTAGGAAATCCATTAGCTAAAGAGATGAATTAGGTCTGGGAGCCGCTTGGGTCTGTAGAGGTGGGGAGAGCGGGACCGACTGCTCTGGCGTGAAGGAAGAGGGAAGCCGTGAAGGGGGGGTCAGGAGTGGAGGTGCTGCAGGTCAGATCCTCGCCTGCGCCCCTTCATGCCTCGGCCAGAAGTTCGAGCTGACCCACGGCCCCGGTCCACGTGCCAGGCCAGTGGCATGAGACCCAGAATAGTTTTCAAGGTTCCCATGTGATTCCATTGCAGAGTCAGGGGGGAGAACCACAGACTAGGACGTCGCTGAGGTCTTGATGTTGAGCCGTGAGGGTGGTGGGCATGGGGCTGAAGAGACGGGCGGGGAGAGTCCAGACGTTTACCGTGGGTCTGGGTACCGCAGGTGGGGACGGTCCGGCTTCAGCAGTGTCACGGGTCCACTGAGAAGACAGCACTGGAGAAGAGGCTGGTCTGGGGAGGCCAGGGCACAGGAAGCTGGGTTTGATGTGGGACACGTTCAGACGTCCAGTAGGATGTGTCCAGTTTAGAGCAGCGTCGAGATGTGGTGTTGAGGCGGGATATCTAGGCAGACAGTATGGGTTTAGAGCCACCATTCTGAACGGTCACTGGAGCCCTGAGAACCCACCTGTGGAGAAGGGCCAGAGGCCGAGGACCTAATGCTGGGAGACACCAGCGTGAAGGAAGAACCCGTGGGCAAGCTGGGTCGGAGGAGATCTGGGCGCAGTGTGGCCCCAGGAGTCCAGGGCCTCTGGAGGAGGGTGAGCGGTGGTAGCATTTGCTGCTGAGCCTGCAGGCAGCATGATAAGGAGGGAACAGCGGCTCCTGGTCCAGAGGCGGGCAGGGGACAGGGGGCCTCGGCCGGGTAGATTTTGGAGTGAGTGGAAGGTCAGAGACGGAGGTGGGAGCGTGGAGTGTAGGTGACGCCTCCAAGCCCTGTGGCTGAAGGCAGGGGGCGGCGCTGAGCAAGCAGAAGGACTGCGCGCTCAGGTGTGGTGGGACGGAGCCCGTGGAGACTGTTCTCCAGGAGAAGAGACGCGGGAGAGACGGTGTGGGTGCGGCAGCTCTATGGGAACCGCGTTCCCACGGGGTCTCCTTTGTGAGGTCGGAGGCAGGGTCGGCTTCTGCAGCCCAGGAGGGCCTGGAGGGGAGTGGACAGGACCGGAGGCAGGCATGGAGCATGGGGGGGTCTCCCCGCGGAGCTGGCCCTCACTCACGGGGTCACCTGCATTTCTGTGTTAAGGGAAACGGACACAGACGGCCAAGCATCCGGAGGCAGCGACTCAGGGGACTGGATCTTCACGATCCGGGAGAAGGATCCAAAGAGTCTTGAGAATGGAGCTCTGCAGCCGTCGGATTTAGAAAGAAATAAGGTACGTTTGCTCGTGCAGAGTGACTAACCCTTGGCATCAGTCAGCAGCATTTTTGAGTCGCTTTTGTGTGAAGCCTGCTGTTTTCGTGGTCTTTGTGGGCCCTCAGTGCAGCCTGTTGTGGAATTTGGCTGTCAGGGAATCGACAGATCAGGAGACGATGTTCTGTCTGACTCCCCAGCAAGGCCAACCCGCGAGTCTGGACTCTGGTCCGCTCTGCGGTGCTGATTGCTGCCCTCTGCAGCCCTGCCGCCAGATCAGCATTTCCTGACACTTGCACATCCCGGGGCAGCGGGGAGGTGGGTTTAGTGTTTGAAACGACTTTCCAGCTCTCTCGATGAGACTAGGCCTGTGTTGCATGTTGGTGTTACTCAACAAGGTACTGTAATTTGGGAATTGAGTTTTGTTTAAGGAATCTTAAAAATAAATCTATTGCTTTTGGTACCTATGTACTTAATTTTGATGAATTGGTTTTGTGCCTGTTTAAGTTAAAGAAAAGCTGTAGTTTTAGGGTCGTTTTGAAGCACAGTGGTGTAGTTTCTCTTCAGCAAGTGCAGACCAGTGGCTGTCCCCTGGTGACCCTACAGATCCTGCTTTGAGAAGCAGATGGGAGTCGCTATGTGCTCAGATAGAGGCTGCGGAAGAAACAAAAGGCAGCACTGTCATAGGACAGCCACTTCCAGCAGCCAGCTCTGACGTGCATGCCATTCCCAGGCCTCATCCGTCAGGTCCTCTCCATACGGGGCTCAGCAGTGCAATTCAGCATCGCCGGAGTCCACGCAGGGTGCCGCTTCCTGGCGCTCTGCTGCCTCTCCACCGGGCATGGTATCTGTAGTCCTCCGTAGTCCAGTGAAAACACAGTAGGACAGTCCTTTGCAGATGCTACGTGTATCTGACAGACGTGTATCTGAAGTTCACTGAATTATTGCAAATGTGAGTATTAAATATTTCTCATTACTCTTTCCCCCCCCCACCCCCCAAGATGAAAGACATCCCAAAGAGGCCTTTCTCTCAGTGTTTATCTACAATTATTTCTCCACTGTTTGCGGAGGTAAGATGCCCAGTTGACTTTTGGGGAGGTGCGAGGGGAAGAAGGGGGAGCAGTTGCCCCGTCTGTGGCAGGGTTGCCCGTGAAATTTGGGGGGTTAGACTGGCTGGCTCTGGGAGGCCAGCTGGGATGGACGGGCCCCTGCCTTCCAGGAACGCCTCTTGCTTTCCCGGGGGCCGTCTTCCAGCCCCTCCTGGGAACTGTCGCTGTGTCACTGCCAGGAGCGTACACGTGGGATGTCAGCAACCCAGCCCCAGTCCGTATGTTACTGGGACAATTTTTAACTTCAGTTATGCTGTTTTCTACAGAATCTAGTTGGGTGCAGCCTAACATCTTTGCCTCGACAGACTTACGTATGGCAATGTGAAAAACAGATTTTTACTTTAAGGAGACATCAGATTCCCTGGGGTCCTCGTGTTTCCTGTGGAGCCCCCAGAGTAGTGGCTTCACCCAGCAGGGCTGGGTTTGCTGACGAGCGGCCCCTGCAAACATGGGCCCCTCCCTGTGCCCTTTCAGGGGACCCTGCCCCCTGTAGGTATGTGTATACGTACAACATTGGGAGGTGTTTCAAGGGTGGGTTTTATGAGGGTGAACGTGGTTCACCTGGTTAGTAGCTGATTGGAGGATAAGTTGGAAATAACCCCTTCCTGTCACGTTCTTGTGCCCCTTGGGTCAGGCTGCCTTTAAGGTAATTCAGTGAGTCACCTGGCGCCTTCTGTTTGGGTGGTGATCCAGAGCTCTCCAGGGAGGCTGTAGCAGGGGACCTTGGACTTGAGGTGGGTGGCCCAGGGTGGGAAGGAAGTACCACCCATGGGCGCATCCCTGTCCCCCGCTTGGCCTGAACGCCAGTCGCACAGTGCCTCCCCCTTGGCGGAGCTCCTGGCTGGCCTCAGTCTCCCAGGCCTTCCCCGACCCAGATCTGTCTCACCAGTGTGCCCAAGGGACAGGTTGAAACCACTGAACACTCTGGGTTCAGGTGGAAAAGTGAACAGCAACAGGGCAGGCGGAGGCCCCTCTGTGTCGCTTTCTGCCTGCGGCCTTGGCCTGGGATGCCTGTTGGACCCTGTTTGCTCTTTGGTAGGTTCTTCGGGCAATTGGCCCGTCAGGTTTTCCAGCTACTCCGCTGCTTTCCCGCAACCCTGACTGCATTTTACTAGGATAGTTGGGCAACGGGGGAAAAGGGCATAGATTTTCTCATTTGTCTGAAGCTGTCTGTTTCTTATTGGGCACATGAAAAAAATCCATTCTGAAGGCACTATCCAGAATTAGTGAACTAATCCTAAACGTACTAATGTTTTGATTTTGTTCAGCTGCCCTGAAGGTAACCTCCCAGGCGTCTTTTCCTGTGTGTTTTTGTTATTAATGTTTGGTAGCCTCACGTTCAGAGCGTCCAGTGTGCATTATTTGCATAATACTCCGCAATCTTGCTACTTAAGGAGCGTCTCCCCATGTTACAAATGAGCACGTTCCCGGACGTCCCTCAGTATGGGCCAGGGGCTCCCTCCAGTGGTGGTGACGGGGCGCGTCTGGCAGCCGCGGGCAGCAGCGGGTGGGGTGGTGGGTGGGGTGGGGGAGTGGGAGGGAGGTCGGGTGGCGGGCTGCCCACTCGGGGCTTGTAAGTCCGGTTGTGTTTAGTCGTTAAGGGGCCAGGGCTCCCAGATGGACAGAAGCACCACCTCCAGGCTGACCGTTGCGGTCGCTGACACAGTGGAACAGGCACAGGCACTCCGGCCTCAGCGCCAGGCCCGTCCTGTCCCTCTGTCTGTCCCTGCAGCTGGGAGGGGAGAAGCCATGGACGTAGAGTGAGCCTGAAGCCGGGGTGGCGGCGTGTGGTCCCAGCAGCCCGAGAAGCTGCTGGAGGCTCTGGGTCGCGCGCCGAACAGCTCCGCCTCCTCCTGGCACATCCGGGGCGCATCCCGGAAAGACAGAAGTTGACCTTAAACTGTGGGAGCTGCCTGCAGACTGGTGTGGTTTCCCGCGGGCGCAGAGGTGCCGAGAGGACATCAGCCTCCCGGGGTGTAGGGCTGTTGCCTGTTTACATGAAATGGAGTATTTCGGCAGCACCCTGCCCACAATGGCAGTCTGTCCGGAGGCCTCAACACCAGCCTGGTTACCGCGGGAGCTATGCGTGCGTGGCCCGCACCACAGCTTCGGGGCACACACCAGAGCCAAGTGGGCGGGAAATGGCTTTGCTGGTGGAAGACTAGGGTGGAAATGGAAAAAGCAAGCAGAGGGAGCAGATGCCACAATCACCTTCTGAAAAGGTGCATAGAAGCGGGTGTGTTTCCTTCCCGGGGGAGGGTAGAGACGGGGGTTGGGCGCAGGCCCAGCCTGTGCCTGGTGCTCTTAGCCTCCAGAAGGGGAGGGATCCGAGCCGACCCTGTGGCCGGGGCAGTCGGGTCGTGTCACTCCTTAAACAGACGCACGTGGCTTCCCGTGCTCGGGTGAGTCACGCCGTTCCTCACTTTGGTGTTTTCAGTTGAAGGAGAAGAGCCAGGCGTGTGGAGGCAACCTGAGGTCCATCGAGGAGCTGCGCGGGGCCATCTACCTGGCGGAGGAGGCCTGCCCCGGCATCTCGGACACCATGGTGGCCCAGCTCGTGCAGCGGCTGCAGAGGTGAGTGCCACCCGTGCCTGGTACCTTCCGGGCCGGGGGCTTGAAGCAGAATCGAGGGAGAGAAGGCTGTTCTCCTGAGTTAGAGGAGTCTGTGCGAACGAACCAGGTGAACCTGGACGCTTCGGGGAGGGACCACAGAGCTTCGTGGTGCTGGCTGTGCTGCCTAAGCACAGGATGACTTCAGGGTGCCGGTCTGCTCTCCTGATGCAGCCTCGTGACCAGCCAGAGGAGTGCAGTCCTGAGCCCGGACTCTCCGTTTGGTTTTATGCTTCAAAGCCAGGTGTCCAGAAACACCAGAGGTGGGGGCTCGGTGAGTTCCGTGAGACCGGACACAGATGTGGTCTATGTGAGGGCTGTGTGGGTCCTCGCCTCTGCCTCAGCGCCGGAAACCTCTTGTGGTGGCCGGCAGCCTGCAGGGGGCGCCCTGTCCCCGCCGGCGGCCCTGGTGGAATGGGCTCCAGGGTAAGGAGGAAGTGGGGCTGCGGATCTGTCCCCCCCGCCCGGTCCCTCAAGCTTGTTTGGGGGAGCCTCCCTGTGGAGGAGGTAGGTCGCACACGTGCAGTCGCCTGGGGGTGTTGGAGAGAGCGGAGGTGAACCGTCCAGCAGCTCTGTGACCCGAGCTCTCCTGCACACCCCGAACCTTTCTCTCTCCCCGAAACGCCAGGCAGATCAGTGCTTTGAAATTCACCTTCCAGGTGTGTTGTCCAGGAAGCGAGCTTTTTCTAAAGGACGGCTGCTCCTTGATGGGAATCAGGAGCGTCTCAGATCTTTTCTGAGATGTCGGCTGGATGGCGCGTGGAGAAGTTTGGGGCATGTAGGGTCACTTTTGCCACTTGGAAGTGGTGATGAAGGGGCTGCCCGCTGTCCTGTGAAGTGTCCCTCTAAAGTGGGACATCAGAGAAAACCTCAGGTTTGTTCTGTAGAACTCAGGCTCCCTCATGAAAACATCCCAACTTTCTAACCTGCTCTCATGTTTAGGCTGGAGAACTTGGAGGCAGTTGAAGGACTCCAGTATGCTTTTTTGGGTGAAGTTGGTTTTAATAGCATTATTTCTTAACCCACTGCATCCAAAGTCTTGTTTTGGTATAAAGGTCTTTCACCATCGTTGTAGGGCTGAGTCTTTGTAGTCAGTGTGTGTTTCACACATAAACGGCACATCTCATTGTGATGTCGGTGCTGGGAGCCACTGTGGCGAGTGTGACCGTACATAACACAGGTGTAACTCCTGCCGTCTGCATTACGGTTAACATTTTACTTCCCATCCTCTCTGGTTCTCTCTTGTCCTTCCGTCCTTTGTGACGTGGGACTCTCTCTCCTCAGCCATCAGATGACCTGCTCCAGGGGCTCCCTGCCTGGTCCCTTTTGGGCTCTCTGAGCTCTTGCCGTGTGTCCCCTGTCCAGAGGCCACCAAAGCACAGTGGCCGTCGCTGACACTTCAGACCCGTTTTGCTCCTGGATGCATTGCTCCAGTGGGTCGCCTCAGAGACGACAAGGACCGGCTTTTGTGTAGCTTAGTTTGAGTTAGTGTGTGGATTCTTCTGTGTGGCATCAACTCCTCCCATGACTTGGGCGTTTACATCTCTCGAAAAGTGAGTCTCAGGACCCGTGGCTACAGCGTGCTTTCCTAGTCATTTGTTCCGTGGGCGAGGGCTATGTACTTTAAACGCCTTAAAAGAGGAGCTCTAGTTTGGAATGTTGGCTACGAGTCCCATTAAACTCGTCCTCAGCCGTCTCCTGTGGCTGGGTGACCACCCCGGTTTTGAGGCTGCTGAGGGAATCTTGGCCACGAAGCGCACCCGTCCCCCTTTTTGGTGTTCCAAAGTGAGATGGTGCCGCAGAATTACTGGAAACAGGAGAAAGTGCCCATCCCACCATCATCGTTTTGGGTGCGCTGCCTTCCCTTGCTGTATACAAGTCATGAACTTACCCAAGTTTTTAGATATTCTTGGGTGTTCATGTAGACTAAATTGTGTAAAACTGGACATGTATAATTCTGTGTACACTTCTTAACCTGGGTGTATTTTTCATATTGCTTAAATATTATGATTTTTCATCTCTTAGTTCATTCAGCTTGCTTAATTAACCATTTTTCTACCGTTGGACATCAGAATTGTGTCCTAGTTATTGTAATCACAAAAAATTTAACAGACCGTCCTAGGAAGTGGATTACTTGAACAAGCGCCGGTATTTGTGTGGCCAGAAAGGGTTTCTTGCACTGATATTGCATCTTTGGGATCTTAACTGTGTCACTGGGTATTATCGATTTTTCAACTTTTAAAAAATGATTATAAGTGAAGGTGTATCATTTACTACTCTATTCGTGTCTTTTTTTTCTCTCCTGGGAGGCTGAACACATTCTCGCTTTTTGTTTATCTGTGAAAAGTTTTTAGCGTTGGAATCATGGTTTTCTTAATTTTTATGAATTCTTTACGGAATCATTAGCCCATTGATACTTGCACCACTTAATTTGTTATAACTTGGGATTGTCTATAAAAACTAGGATTTTGATTATTGCTTGAAGTTTTGCAAATTAATTTGTTTTTAATTTAGAGAAATGACATTGATTTACTTCTACTTCTCTTTTTGTTTTCTCCTAGATACTCTCTAAGTGGTGGAGGAACTTCATCCCACTGAAATTCCTTTGGCGTTTGGGTTTTGTTTTTTTCCTTTTTTTCTTCTTCATCCTCCTCCTTTTTAAAAGTCAACGAGAGCCTTTGCTGACTTCGCTGAAGAGGTGCACCATCGCGGGGGGCCATCCCCCCCACAGCGAGGTTGCCTGTCCAGGGCCTGATGAAGTCTCCAGGTGGGGTGGGGAGGGTCAGCTCCTGCGAGCGAGTATTTTATTTTATTTTATTATTCTTGTTTTTAATTCTAACCATAGTGCACATATCAAGGAAAGTGTCTTTAGAAACAAAAATAAACCCTGAAATGTATATTTGGGATTATGATAAGGTGACTGAAGAAATGAAACCTCAGGTATCCTGCTTTACGTTGATAACTCCCCCTCCCTGGGAGACGGAGAACCGCTCTGGTGGGTCAGTGTACAGATTTGTATATAGTGTCATTTTTAAGGAAACCCTTTTGGCGTGCATAGGGATCACTGTGTACACACTGGCCAAGTGCTTCTGTAGATACCGTCAGTGGGGTAGATATTTGACAGGCCGTAACTCGAGTCTATTGCCTTGCCTTTATTACATGTAAATTTTGAATTATGTGACCAGTGATTTGGGTTTTACTTTGTATTTGCAGGGTTTGCCATTAATAATAATTAACACCCCTCTTATGGAACACTCCTATATTTGTACCTCAACAAATGCAAATTTTCCTCTTGTTTGCCCTACAACCCTTTTGGTACACTTAGAAGTTGATTTCCTTTTTCATCGATGGTACTATTTCTTAGTGTTTTAAATTGGAACATACCTTGCCTCATGAAGCTTTAAATTATTATTTTAAATTTCTCCCCGATGAAGTGTTCTCGTCTCACTTTCATTCGCGCCCTGCCAGTCCTGCGCCAGCTGTACCGTCCTTCCAGTAGGGTTTTCTGTTGCACCTTGTAGTGAAATCTGCGTATCATCTTTCCCACCTAAACATGTCTGAATGCTTACACAAATAAATTTTATAACACAGATTTTGCATACTCTCCTTGGAACGTGACTCTTGAGGGGGCAGTGCACCTGCCGCGTGTGTGTGTGTGTGTGGTGTGTGTGTGTATGTATGTATGAGGCTCCGGGAAGAAGTGCCCACATTCAAGCTGTGGAATGTCCAGGTCAGCTCCCTGTGCAACTTTTAAAAAGGGTCCTGAGAAGATATGGGTGAATATTGCTGATCTGTAAAGCTGCTGTCTTCCCAGGGAACTGGAGGGAAGGTGGTTGGTTGTTTTAAAGGAGCTGGTGTCCGCTAGTACGTCCGCCAGGTGTCTGTATTTTTCTTGGCTTGTGGTAGCGTCTGGCTTGCCAAGGGGGTTAATAACCTCTGGGTCTCTGGGTCGGGAAATACTTCTTGCCGCCGTTCTGGACTGATTTGAGTACGTGTGACATTTTTTATCATTTGTTGCTACGAATCGTTGTCATCTCTTGCTGGAGTAGCAGTTCTTGAGGTGGAATACAAAGGCTTTTGGAAGCAGGGAAGTTACTGGGTAAACTTGAGGACGGAAGGTCAGTTATCTGCTGGCCCGGTGGCCTGGATGTTATACAGGGAGAGGACAGAGGCCTGAGCTAGAGACGTCTGAGGGGTGGTTATTGTTTTGGTTAATGGAATGGAGCTAGTTTTTAAACTCTTAAAATTGTCGTGATTTTTTAATTAAAGGTAGATTTGGGTTAATTTCTATAAGGGATATATTTTGGTTAGAGGAAACAGAACCAAATGGCCATCGTGCAAGTTTGTTAACTTGAACAACAAAAATGGAGAATATTTCATTTTGTGTTTCGGAGAGTATTCTGTGTGACAGAGCTGTTTGTTTCCCTGTGTGAGGCATGAGGCAGAGATCAGTTTTGTCCGTCGCTGGAGAAAGAATCAAAGAAATGGAGCCGTGTTCCCCGAGGTGTGCTGCTTGTCTGATCTTGAGAGCGCCAGAGCAGACGGCAGCTTTCTGGTCTAGAGTTCTTCACATTTGCAAATGGACAGTGGTTTCAGGACTTGACGCTGACTGACCGCCATGTCGAATATGAGTGATGGTTACACTGATTGGCAGACGGGATCCCAGCTAAGTGAGGTGCCGTGAGAGGTTAGTAGCTGCTCTGCAGTCACTGGACGGTAACAACACAGCACCGTCTCCCAGGCAAAGCGGCAACTTACTCTGTTGAGTTTATTGGGAACGTCTTCTGTTGATGATGCTTCTCGGGGAAGATGTGCTTTGACAGGCTTTTGAAAGTGGGTCACCTCCCCCTACAATATCTCCTGGCTTGTTACTTTCTGTAGACAAAGAAAAATCAGGGCATCTGCTTGAGGCTAGCATTTGTCCACTTCAAGTCCTTTATTAAAAGACAGACCAGGTACCAGAGCTACAAGAGGACCTGCCTCGGGCCTATAAACCGCTGGTGGTATTTAGCCAGACCCGTGAGCTCAGCACTCAAGGTAGACTGACTGCCCCTCGGAAGCCTCTGGATGCCGCACCCCAGCAGTCAGCGGCTTCTCTGCCCACACGGCTGACGGCTGGGCGGCTTCACCCAGAAGCACAGCCTCTTGGAGGTTGGGGCTGTGTCTGGCTGGTTGTCGACACCTTTTTGAAGTGGTCTTTTTCTGCACTGGCTGCACCCATGTGGTCTGGGGGCCTCGGCACTGTCACAGTTGTGTGATTGTCTCGCTGTAACCAAGGGCCACACACCTTCCCGATCTGACGTTTTGTTCTCCAAGTGGTCTTTTGAAGCGTTTAGTTTGAATGCAGCATTTTGTACCTTTCTTTTGGCAAAACAGGTCTGTTTATGAGCATTTTTATATTTTCCTCCTTAAACGTGGCTTGTGTATTTCTGCTATAAAATATGGCAATAACTGAAGAGTGCTGCAAGGTGTGTTCTTAAGCACAGGGTCTGTATCATGCAAGGGTCAATAAAGTTCACAGAAATAATTCTTTTTATAATTGTGTCTTGTGTGTAGAGGGGGAGTAGACAACGTTTGTGTCCCCCGCACCTCTGAATTTATATGTTGAGATCCTGAGCCCCAGTGTGATGGCATTAGGAGGTGGGAGCCTTTGGGGATGATTAGGTCATGAGGGTGGAGCCCTCAGGACTGGGATTAGTGCCCTGACTCCACAGCAATCCCTCACCCCTTCCACCATGTGAGGACACAGCGAGAAGGTGGCCATCTGTGAGCCAGGAAGTGGGCCCTCACCAGATACTGCATCTGCCGGGACCTTGATCTTGGACGTCCAGCCTCCAAACTGTAAGAAAGATATTTGTTTATAAGCCACCCAGTTGATGGTACGTTTGTTACAGCAGCCAGAAAGGACTGAGATAGTGGGTGTCTCTGAAACTCCATCTGTTTCCGGCAGCTTGGGAGTGGTCTGAATCGCCTACATGATTTGCACTTAGCTTTTCTTTGAAGTCACAGGGGGACACGGGTGTGAATCATAGCTGGGAGCAGAAGACTGACTTAGGAGACCACACCTTGTCTCCAAGCCTTGTAGAGGTGAGTGACAGGTGTGACTTTTGGAGGGAGAAGCTCATGATTCCGCCATCTCAGCAGCCCAGGGACTGGGGTCAAAGGCTTCCCAGCCCCCTCCCTGCCCACCTTGCCCTCAACCCCTTGTCTTCTAGAGCCTCTGATGGTCAGTCTTCCGGAAATGTTCTGCTTTCCAGGTCCCACGTTGGAAGCAGCAGAGAAAATTATCACATACATATCAAAATGTTGTTTGTCTTAAGAGAACAGACTCAGCAGCTCATTCACCCCACCCCACAGTGACCAGCTGACTCCCCGACCCACCTGCCTGAGATTCAGTCAAAGACAAGAGACGAGGTTGGTGGTTTTGCCTTAAAACTTCAGGATGCTGGATTGTGGCATGAGGTATTTTTATTCCCTTTTGTTAGTACTTAAAACCGTCTGTACAGACCGTAAGGCAAGTGATTCACACACATCTCGAGCTACTCATCGTCCATTTGTATGTTTCCACGTACTCCGGTCACAGCCCCCCGGTCGGGGTGGTCCTGGGTGTCTCAGGTGAGGGCCCCCAGCTGTGGTGTGGGGCACTGGAAGGGAACCGTGTTGGATGGGTCGCCCCCTCTGGGGGCGGCATCAGGAAAGGGCTTAACAATACCAAGGGAATAGCAGCCACTCGATCCCCATGGAGAAGAGGCGAACGGATTTTGACCCGTGGGCCCCAGCAGTTACTGGAACCCTGTTCCCTGTGTTGTCCGACTATCAAGGATGTGCAATGTCGTATGTCCATACCCCAGGCCGGGGGGTGGTTTGGCGGGGGAGGGGCGGGCGGGGGCGGTGAGTATAAAAAGGAGAAAAGAATGGTTTGTGAAGACAGGCACGATATATATACCACTATTGAGTGTGCAGTTCCAAACCACAGTTGCAGTAGGATACAGGGATGATCACAGGAGCCAGGGGACTACGCACTGTGACTCAGAGCTCCTGTGTCCACGAGAAGCTCAGACACGCTCCACAACGTAACACAGCACAGACGGCCCTGGTCACTTCCATACAGGTTCTCATGCTCGTGAAACATACAGCAAGACACCACAGCTTACTACCCTCCCATCGGATACGGCACTCAGTGCACTGACAGTCCAGAGAGCGCACTGGATTTCCGCTTCTCCTAACAGAAGACAACCCGCTCTGCTTTGTAAATAGTCACCGCTTGAACAATTTGGTCAACTTGTGCCAAGAAGGAGGTCTGGGAACCAGCGTTTCCCTGGAGCCTGCGGCCCCCAGTGGAACACAGGATGCTGCAAACTGCTCATTTATCAAAAAAGTAAATCCTACTAATTTGCTATCATTATAAAAGTAGAAAGAGTGAGAAAAAAAAAATCTGAAAATGATCTCAAAATCTGAAAATGATCTCATTCGCTTAAGACTGCCAAGTGTATCGCAGACAAACAATGGAAAATCCATTTTGTAAAATACAGCAGCCTAGAAATCAAAATCGTAAGTTTATCAATCATCTTTTTAAAAAAAAAGAGCCCTTGCCCTGTCTTTTGGTTGCATGGACGTGTTAGTACTGACTTTAAGGTGCAGTTGCGGAGGGAAAAAATGTCATTCGGCACTCTATCCGTGACAATGTTTAATACTGGCACAAGCTGAAGACAGCCCACCGAGGGCACGACGGCCGAGACGCCACCCGCGTTGAAGGCAGGGGTGCGGTCCAGTTCCGATGAGAAATTAACAGCTGCGAAGACAAGGTTTAAAATGGTTCTGTGGAGACAGATGAGAGTCGCTGTGAAACCATGTATTATTTTGTTTTCCAGACAGACAGGTGTTAATTTTACTAGGCTTCATTAATACAGAAGAAAGAAAATGTCTTCCGGGAAAGTCGCCACTGCTGAAACAATCAACACATGTGTCCCGTCCTGCCATCAATACACGTGAGATTCTTTGTGACTCAGAACGTGGGCACGGGAGGCCGAACTGGTAGCACTTCGGATCACCTCCATCCATCTAGGACAAGAAAGTGAAATAACCGTCATTATCAGCCAGTGTTTCTGAAATCTGCTTTTCTTGTTTGTTACAGCTTCATGACCCCTGGCGGTCGTTACTTACAAAGCCCCAGCGTGACCTAATACTGCCTGGCGTAGAATCTGCTCTTGTAGCAGGAGAGATCTCACATGAGCTCCTAGCTTCCAGGTAAAGGAAAGCGGGGTTAAGGCCGCCTCCAGGTACTCCTGAGGACCACTGACCGGGGCATGCTCGTTCTGCAGAGGCGCCTGACGTGGGGCTGCAGCGCACACTGCCAGTCTGTCTCAGGACAGTGGGGTGCGGCCTATCCTAGACACGGGGCTGTTTGTGGTCTAGAAGCAGTGGGCAGAGCGTCCCCCGCCTGCAACAATGAAGCGTCCTCTGGTGTACCACGTCAGGAGTGCCCGGGGGAGGAGACCTGGGGTGGCCCAGCTTCCTGCCTTTGTGGAGCTTAGAGGGCTTTAGAAATCCCTAATCCCAGGGCTACGTGCTCCCTGCCACAGCAGTGACGGCATCTCAGTTTTCCAGTCCAGGATCAAATTTGAGGAGTGCTACCCCGTGGGCTCCCTTTTCAACCAGTGTAGCTTAGGGCCCCGCTGGTCTGGGGTGGCTGTCAACGGCGGCTTCGCCCCTGGTCTTAAACCACTGTGCTGTTTCCCGTGAACTAACTTTACGTGAGTTTGTGCACGGATGACTGGCCCATTGATCGGAAACCCTCGTGGGTTTTCAGGAGAAGAGTTTCTCCCTCAGCGGGGTGGCAGCAGCTGCCCTGTCTGGTCTGGTGCCCAAGGACCACCCCTCGCCCAGGTGGTGATTCGGCAGTGACACTGCTTTCAGAGCCTGCCCCAGGATGCGAGGCCCAGGATTTGTACTTGAAGGTGGCCACAGGGAGAGCCTGGTTCCTTCACTTCTTGGCTAAAGGAAGACCACTGCCCTGGGCCTTCACACCACGGAGCCAGTCTCATTGGTAAGGTAACTAACTCTAAGAGGCACTAGGATTTTTTTTTTCCCTTCCTTACGTGGTCTTTTGACTTGAAGCTTACTTAGCCTTTTGGCCACGGGACGAAGCAACTACTGGAGCCATCGACTGGAAAAACACAAGTTAGAGATGGAAAAGTGTACCCCGCGTGGTGTGAACTAGCGTACAGGTTTTGGGCTGATGTGTCCCAGGGAAAGTCATGGTTCCACTTGCTCCTGTGAAAACAGACGTGTAGTCGCATTGGGCACACAGAGCCCAGGTCTTATGAAGTGCTTTCACTTTAAGCAAGTAGCAGGGTGAGAACAAGAAGGCCCTTCTGGAAGGGAGTCAATGCCCAGGCAGCAGGTAGCTGCTGCTACAAGGCCTTATGCACTTGGGAGAAAGCCCGCTGCTCGGAAGAAGGGTGTCCTTTCTCTGCAGGTGCCCTGTGGAGGGGGACTTTTACCTTTCAAACGTGTATTCGCTTTCAGCCCTGAAGTAGTACACGTGGGACTTGAAATGCAGCTTGAACACGTAGTCCTTGTGGAGGTCTTCAGACTCCGAGGGAATGGTGAGCGAGTACCCAAGCAGAGGCAGGCTGGCGAGGGGGTGACTGTCCTGGAAGGGGGCACAGAAGGTGGGAGCAGTCACAGGTGTGGCACCTGCCCGCAGCAGCTGGTCTGGACTGAGGTCCAGGCCCGGATGCGTCGCGTCGGCCACCGGTGACATCACCCGCGCCCCCCTCCCCTCATCCAACCAGCAGACGCGCAGCCCTTGGGCAAGTGGATAACGGCAGCCTTCGCTTAGAGCTGTGGGGTCTCTGAGGGCCGTGGCCTTGCCCAGCCTGCTGTGGGCCCCCCTCCAACACCTGGGTGGCTCAGGGGTCAAGCTGTTCATCCTTCCAGAGGAAAGCTGCCTGCTCCCCGAGGAGGGAGGGTCCTTCAGGCCCCTCCCCAGCCGCCCCCCCGGGCACATACCTGGTGCGACTTGTAGAAGAAGAGGCAGAAGTTGGTGAAGACTACCCACAGCTTCTGCCACCCGTTGCTGTTTTTGAATTTCCTCAGCAGGTTCCCAGACAGCTGATTCTACAAGACAAGTCAGCCTGTAAGGAGCCCGGTGGAAAGGCCAACTCAGTGTCACAGCCCGGTGGGGCCCGCCGGCAGGGCTGTGCTTCTGTGAGCAGGCTTCCTGGGGGTGACTTAAGAAAACGGCCTTTCGCTCTGGGAGGGGGACTGCGTGAGCCTGGGTTAATTTTCCTGTCAACTCCCCCCCCCAACCCCCGCCGTATCTCAGAATGTGACCTTATTTGGAAATAGGGTCATCGGAGGTAGAATTGAGGAGATCGTCCTGGAGTAGAGGCCCGTATCCACTACGGCTGACAGACAGACACGGGGCAGCCCCTGTGACCACAGGCAGGCGCGAGTGATGTGTCTACAAGCCCAAGAACACCAAGGCTGGCCAGCAACCCACAGCAGCCGGCAGAGGCCAGGTGGCCTCCTCCCGCACGGGTTTAGAGGGAGCGCGGCCCTCTTGCCACGCTGATTTCTGGACCTGTGACCTCCAGGCTGGTGAGACACATCTGCCCAGCGGCTGGTGCTTGTTAGGGCATCCGTGGGAAAGGACCCATCACCCTCAACTCTAAGCCGGCAGGAGCCCAGCGCCAGCCAGCACCTCCTGACTGCCACCTGGTGGCCCTGGCCGCAACGCTGCATTTCAGCGCGGAGCCTCCAGGCCCCACCCTGCGCTGGTGGGAACAGGCGTTCTGGGCGTCCTGGCTTAACTCCGGAGCTCCATGGGCTCCTGAGGCCCGCAGGAGCTGCCAGCACACAGCATCACCGTGAAATCACAGGCAGCCCGGGGGGGGCGCCAAGACCAGAGCCTGTGCCTCCTTGCCTTCTCTCCAAAGCCCCTGTGTCACCTCTCAGAGGACCCTAAGAAGCCGCATCTGTGTCCCTGACAAGACAGCAGCTCAGTGCCAGGAAGCCTTGACGAAGAGAGAAATGCATGGTGAATATAATCACTGCCACTACATCGTTCACTTCAAAGGGGTGAACCGGGCAAACGCACCACAATAAAATATACATATACACACACCTGCGTCTACCTCATTCCATCTCTGGGGCTTTTCCAGTGACCTGTGTTTAATCCGAGAGACATTCCTAAGTCAGGCGCCTGCGAGAAGAGGGCAAATGGCTCTGGCTGCGAGTCGCTTGCAGTCTGATGGGGGAGACGGCGTGTTAGGCCGAGAGAACACAGGAAGCAGAGCTGTCCCTGTGGCCATCACTCCTGGCTGCCACTTACCCACTGGCGAAAGGCACAAGAAAAGGCGAACGGTGGGTTCCAGCAGGTGATGGTGGCAACCAACCAGAGTGGGGATCTGATGCTTGTGCAGTAGCACACACGAGTACACGCAAGCCTCACTCTGGAGGAAGGAGAGTAGCACATTTTCCTTTCCTTATTTTTATACTGAAATCAAATTCCTCCTGACAGAGCCCCCAAAAAACCTTTCTCTTAGATGCGTTTACCTTTGGAACGATAGCCAGTCCAGCCCACAGTGTGGTTTACACACTTCACTGATGAACCAGGTTCCAGGCCAGTGTTCCTTCCAAGGCAGGGTCACGAGAACACTCTTACCTTCTGCCAGCAGCCTTGAATCCTCCTGGAACACGCCAGGGTATTCGTTCTGAGCAAGTCCTTCTAGCTTTGCCAGCTTAGCAGATGAGATGCTTCTTAGTAATTGTATCTACGGGTCTCTCCTTGCTCCCCGTTGCCCCCGTGCCCTCCGAAGTTGCCAACCCCACCAAAACCCTCGCTCCCTTGGCTTCGCTCCCATATACACTTCAAGTCTCCTACTCCGGTCACGTGGCCCCTAAGCTGCGCTCAAGAGCCTGAGCCTTTTGTCTACGCAAATGACCTTCGGGTCTGTCTCCAACCCGGACCAGTCTGTGTGTGCTGCCTTCACGGGAGAGGTCGACATTCCCAATCTGGCACCGGCTGAGGCCCGTTCCCTGCCTTTCCCAGACTGGAGGAAGGCCTCTTTGCTCCCAACTGCTCCATCCCTGTTGTGGATTGATTCGTGTCCCCCCAGAAGATATTCATGCCCAAAGGCCCAGTACCTGTGAAGATGACTGTAATAGGGTCGTTGCAGATACAATCAAGATAAGGTCCTACTGGAGTACCGTGGGTCCTAACCCCAATGTCCTCATAGGAAGAGGACTTTTTAACAGATACACAGGGAGACCCCCCCCCAAGTGAGACAGAGGCAGAGACTGGAGTGATGTGTCCACAAGCCAAGAGAACACCGAGGGTGGCTGGCAACCACCAGAAGCCAGGAGAGAGACCTGGACCAGGACCTCCAGAAGGAGCCGACCCCGCTGACACCTTGATCATGGACTTACGGCCTCCAGCACTGTGAGAGGACACATTTCTGTTGTTAAGCGGCTTCAGACGTGTTGCGGCAGCCACAGGATATGAGGGTCCCCACCCCTAGTTACGTTCCCCCCATCCCCCTGGTCCTCACCTGTGTGCAGACGGCCGAGTGACACCCTCCTCTCTCCCGAGCCCCCACCGCCTCCCAACTCCAGTCCTACAACACAACTTTGATGGTTTCACCTCTGAATCCTCCGCTGGCCCTATGGCCTACGCGAGGCTTCACACTGGCCGTCCTAGCGTCAGCACCCCGACGTCGACGGTGCCCCCCGACTTTCTACGGAGGCCAGCTCAATTTCATGCTGCCCCCAAACAAACATCCCCGTCGCTCACTTCTACCTGCACGAGCCCAGAAGAGAGAATCTGGTGCTGGGGACGGTAAGGAAGCAGCACGTCAAGAAGGAAGGAGCCACTCCCTCGTCCCCCTTCCCCCAACTCCGGTCATCCAGGGGCATGTGGCACCCACAGGAGCCCACCGCGGACACCAGACTGAAGCCACGCGCCTTGGGGACGGGGGATCGGGCAAGGAAGGGACATTTACAGAGTGACAGACGCGCCAGTTCACGAGCATCCAAGCTGCGTCACTGCCACCTTAAAACCACACTGGCTCAGAGCTCGCTCGCGTGGGCTACAACGTTCAGCAAACCTTTCCTCAAAGGGCCAAATACTATTTTAGGCTTTTTGGGCCAAGGGGCAAAATCAAAGACAGTTGTAACCACTCAAAAACGGAAAACCCTGTTCTTCGTTGATGGGCTGTAACCAAGCAGGTGGCAGGGTTTGGTGTGAGGCTGCAGCGTGCTGACCACTTGGTGTGCTGACCACTCGGCTGACTGACACACACGCGCGTGTGCGCACACACAGCACCAGTGCAGGCTGTCACCCTGAAAAGCTGGGCTCGAGGAGCTGTGTCTGGGCCGCATTCTTGAATGGCCTGCCTGCCTCCAGGGGTTAAGGAGGAAGGTTCATGCCTACCAAGTTCCCACACCTCCACAGCCCTGACTACACATCGCAAAGGTGAGTATAAAGCGAAGCAAAGAGGACTTCTCCCGCACGGCCCCGCCCTTCCCCTGGCCTCGCCTGGACAGAAGAGATGTCATCAGGTATTTTTTGCCTCCAGATGGCCACTGCCCGCTCCTTGCTGGAAAGATCCCTGTGCCCTGGAAGAAATCTCCGGTTGGCAAGCTTCGCCAACAGGTGCAGTGGAAATGTGATGGGAAGGATGAATACAGTGAGCCCCTCGGGAAGAGAAAGCCCCCTCCCCCGCCGTGGGGCGGATGCAGGAGACGGAAGGCCACGCACAGTCGGGGAGCTCCACGCGCTGGGACAGCCCCGAGGATGAGGATGTCTTGACGAGGAAGCCTGGGTTTTAGAACATTAGCTGTAGCAGGGAAACTCGACAAACGCAGTTCCGTGGAACTGTGAAGGTCAGTTCCAGAAAACAATCTCAGAGAACCCCTATGCACTACCCATCAAGAAATGTTCGGCTCATTTGAACCAACACACTGTTGGTTCCGAAAGCCAATGCACCGCTGTTCGTGGCTCACAATCTCCTAGGTGACATTTTCGGGCCAGGCACACTTAGGAATTCAGAATTTGTCAGATTTTAGAAAGATAATCCAGTGCCTGTCCTCTATGACACCCCAGGCAGTGGGGTCTGGGGTTGTAGCCCAGAATCAAACACAGCGATGCTGTGGTATAAAACAGGACGCGCTCGCAAAACCGATAAACAGCCTCCTGACCGGTCAGGTCAGGTTCTGCTGTCAGTGGGGTATGAAGAGAACTTCACGGTTTTAGAGCTTTCTGGGCTTCGCATTTTCTGAAAGGTTAGGGGTTATGCACCTGGACTGGAGGACGCTTAGGGAATGAGGTTTGGAGAGTTCTAGAAGGTTCACGGTCGCAATACGGGGAGAGCCCCCATCCCCAAAGCCAGATCTTCGGGACGCTCCGAGAGCCGGCTTCTTGCAGGTTCTTCCATGAAATACACCTACCTGCTGTGGCCCTGGCTGGCAGCAGCTTTCCAACCATACCGCCTCCCCGCACCCGATTCCGGGGGCTGCTCCAGGGCGCAGCAAGAACGGCGCCTGCGCGGCCCATCCGGACCTCTCGGCGCGGACACACGAATAAAGGCACGCACAGTCCCCGCCCTGTGGCTAACTCCGCGAGAGGAGAGGGCACGGTCCAGAAAACAAAAGGAAACCATCACTGCACAGGCGGCCTGGGAACGGACAGACGCCAAGGCCGGTGCACCTGCCGGCCCACAGAGCGCGCATGCTCAGAAGGCCGGTGCCCGTGGCCTGACCCCCCCCACCGCCTGCCCTACCTCCACGGCCACGCTGAAGTCCACCATGGAGACGCTGGTGTTGCGGTGCCAGCACACGTGCACCATGGTGTTGCCGCGGTGCGGGGCCTGGCGCTCCAACGAGGTGCGCGAGGCGCTGAGGTCGTCCTCCGACTCCTGGTCGCCCGCTGCCTCCTCCGCGGACTCTGCGGGGGCAGCAAGTGGCGGCGCTTTCTCTGCTCACCAGGAGGGCCCCTGTCCCGCCCCCTGCCCAGGAGCCGAATGGGATGGGAAGGCTGGGGGTCCCGGGCACCCACCGAGCAGGAAGTCACACTGGCAGCGAGGGCTTGGCCAGGGGCGTCCCACCAGTCCCTCTGCCAGGGAGCCTCTAACAGTTTTCTCCCCGCCCCTCGCCCCCCAGAGGCTGACAAGCGGCAGTGCTGGCCCAGAAAAGATGCGATTTCTCCGCTCGCTCATTCTCTTTTAAGGGGTTTTGTTTGTTTTTTTTTAACTTTTATAAAAAGTTCCTTGATTTTTAGCTTAAAACACAAACGTAGACTGTGGCTATGGGGCGCATCGGTAAGGCAATTTTCAGTGCAACACTCACTGCTGTCAGGAGGGCTGCTGGCCAGGAACTCGGGGGCGGGGCCGCTGCTTTTCTCGGCCAAGTCAATGGCCATCTGTATGTCCTCCACCCACTTTTCCATCTCGGACCGAGAACTGGAGGAGGACAGATGGACGTCAGGTATTTCCAGGCCACGGTGGGGAGAAGGGGTACCGAGGTCAAAGGTCAGGCTCCCCACGTTACCTGGCAGCCACGACGATGGACTGGCGCTGGCCCCGCAGGGTGAGGCAGTGGGGCACGCCCCACTCGTCCTCACTTTCCTCCATCTGTGGGGCGAGTGTTCATAAGTTACTGCCGAGCGGGGGTTGGGATACTCAGTGCATTTTCAAACGTTCACCGAACTGACTACAGCTCGGCGGAACCAAGTCCAAAAAAGTCCCCATCGGGAGGGTGAAAGCAAGGTCAAAATGCATTATACTTTTTCGTCAGAGCCATAAACCTCCCTCTACCCGCCCACTGAGGAGAGTGTGGGGATATGCCACACTGGTGCACACTGGCGCCCTGTCTGCCTCTGCCCACCAAGGATCACAGAATACAGACACCGTCCACCGGACATCTCGGGAGAAAGGCTGCTTCCTGGTCTTCACTCCACGTGGACGGTGAGGATGGCCTCTCAGGGCCCCGGGGCCAGGCACCGGGCAGTGAAAGGCAAGTTCACACCACGTAGGCACGGCAGCTTGCCTCTGCACTTGATTCCGGAAGGAACATAGCCATGCATCCCAGGTGCAGGACAGGGAGTGAGGTCCCGGGACCCCTCTGGGGGAGCCCTAACAAGGCCCAGGTTTTTCACAGCGCCTGTGATGCTCTCACTTCCTTATCAAGCCCCTCCCCCTGTCACTGGCTCCTGCACCCCGCGGGCAGCCCAGAGGCAGAGGTCCCCATCCCGTGCCCACGGCGCATACTCACGGTCATGCCGTAGAGCGGGAGCTGCCCGTGAACTTTAAACTGATTCGAGGCCGTCAGCCCCCTGCTCGTGTAGAGCAAGACGTCGTTGAACTAGAAGAACAAGGACAAGCGCGGCTGAGACGAATGGGCTCCGTTTGAAACCAACAAGTACAGAAACTACGTTTTCAGAGTCCGACAGGACAATTCGTGGATCTCAACACCTCCAGTCTGAGCAGCTCTGGCTGCTCCTCCTGTCTCCCAGGTACCCCCTCTGGGGCGGCCGAGGCCCAGCGCCGTGACCCTTGCTGGTTCCACGGGCTCACAAGTCACCCATCACCTTGAACAAACAGCTCTCACCACTTACCAGGAAGAACATGCGCTGCTGGAGCCCCTTCCCGGAGAGCTTGCTGAGGCTGCCCAAACGGATGAATTCCTGCAGAGAAAACACACCCACGAGCTGGCTCGGAGCCTGCAAAGTCGCGTCAGCGCAGACTCAACGCGATGTGAGATGCTTCCGCCCATCGTGGTCCCTTTCACGCTAAAAAACGTACCCGGCATAGCTCCTATTTACTGAACGCCGTGCTGTGCCGCCTCTAAGCTCCTTTCCTTCTGAGCAACCTGCAAGGCAGGGGCTAGCTTTGGCTCCTCCACCAGAGAAGCAGCTGGCGGTCGGAGCTCCGCTGGCCCGTGCGGTGCGCTGGTTCACACCCGGACCTATAACTCTACACTGAACCCCCAGGCCCTCAGGGCTTCCGGCTGCGAGCAGGGCACAAGGCCCCTGGATGGATACAAAGTGGCAGCCGGGGACCGGGAAGACAGGTACGCCACAGGAGAGAACTGTGCATAGAGGAATCTTCTCCACGACTTAAAATCTGGTTCTCAAAAACTAGTAACTGTTCTAGGATGAAAGAGCCAGAAAGGAACTCTCCCTCCCGACTATAAACTTCTGAGGGCACAGACGATTCGGGGGCACTTCAGAAACCCTCCACAAAACTATCATTTAAAAAACTGTGGTAAAATACACATAAAACTTACCCTGCATGACCTTTAGTGCATCCATCAATACCATCTAGGTCCAGAACTTTCCATCACCCAAACCTTTAAGCAGTCAGTCCCCATTTCTCACTCCCCGTTCCCGCCTCCCCAGCACCTGGCAACCACCAATCTGTTTTCTGTCTCTATGGATTTGTCTATTTCATGTAAGTCCAACATGTAATATGTAGCTTTTTGTGTCTGGCCTATTTCACTTAGCACCATGTTTTCAAGGTTCGTCCATGCTGTGGCACGTGTCAGAAATTCGTTCCTCTCTCGGGCTGAATATTCCACTGCATGGACGGGGCACACCTTGTTTACCCACTTAGGCTGTTGATGGGTATTTGAGTTGCTTCCCCTTCTGGCTACTCTGAACAGTGCTGCTGTGGACATGCATGTTCAAGTTTTTGTTTGAACACCTATTTTCAGTTCTTCTGGGTATAGAGCCAGGAGTGGAATTGCTGGGTCATGAGGAAATTCTATGGTTCACTTATTAAGGAACCGCCAAACTGTGTGTCCACAGAGCTGCTTTTAAAACACAGCTGCAAGTTCGTTGACATTCTTCCCACAGAGGCTGGTCTCTGTCCCCTTCCCTTAGATGTGGGTAGACTGGTGACCAATTTGACAAATAGAGTATGGAAGTGATGCTGTGTGACCTGTGAGACCGGGTCATAAAACTACACACAGCCTCTGCTCTGTCCCTGGGAACACTTGCTCTGGGAACCCTAAACTGCACATTAAGCAGTGAGACCACCCTGAACCCACGCTGGGGAGGCCCCTCGTGGGCTCTCAGGTGCACGGTCCCAGCTGAGCCCAGCCTCCAGCCGTCTGCCAAGTGTAAGCCTTGGCCTCTCCAGGTCAGCCCATCTGGGACCTCTGTCAATGCCCTAGAGAAAGAAGAATCACCTGGCTGAGTCCTGCCCCATTCCCAACTCACAAAACCGTGACATATACTAAAAGGTTGTCTTCAGTCACTAAGTATTGGGGCTGTTTGTTACCTAGTTTTCCTGTGATCTCAGTAGCCAACGAGCCAAGAACAGGGACTCAACCAGTTCGTTTGCATTCTATAGACTGCACAGCCTGACTCTTGCTTTGGTCCTTTATGAAATGTCAATCAAAGACAACATCTGCTGGTGATTCAACTGACATATTTTGGAGATCAACGAAGTGACACATAACAAATACTTGCTGGTCCATGGGATGGATGCTATCAGACAGCAACGGTACCGTATGAAGAAACGGTGTTTGGGGAATGCTCTCATCACTGAAGGGGATCAGAGAATGAGGAGTGGTGACCCCACTGTGCTGTCTACTCCTGTTCCCGGCTCGCATATCCGATGTTGTTATATGTGCGTTTTCTTAACGAATCTTAGGGATGTGGGAAGGGGAAGATGGAGCTTCTGCAGAAGGGCTATGGACTCAGATCACCGTCTCAGGGCTGGAGATGGAAAATGCCTCTTGCCCAGAACTGTTTTTTAATTTTTAAAGAAAACCATGGAATAGGAGAAAAAGAAAAGGCTCCTAATATCCTTAAGCTCAAGCTGCTTCCTACTGGAATGAAATCCACAATATCCAGGCCTCTGAGTTTTATCCAAATGAACCTCCACTATCCTCCTGGAAGAACTCTCAGGCACAGAACTCTTAGGGGCAGAAAACACACCCTGGGGGCCTGGCTCAGGCCAGAGTGTGCTGGGGGGTGGGGGCGGGGGTTGCGGGGTGGGAATCCTGCCTTCCAGGACATGACCTCATCTCAGCCTGACCCTAGCGGGAGGGCAGCAGGATTATGCCCGAAAGCTGGGTGAGGAATTAGACCGCAGGGAGCTGGAACATTAGCCGCTCACCTTTAAATCTCAATTTTTCAAATTCCACCAGTAGATAAATCTGTCAGAGCCTTCTTTCCACTCAACAGGTTATTCGATAATTTAAAATTTTAAAAAAAACAAAACCAAACAAAAAACCAGGGTACTTCCCTGGTGGTCCAGTGGTTAACACTTTTCCTTCCAATGCAGGGGGTGTGGGTTCGATCCCTGGTCGGGGAGCTAAGATCCCACATGCTTCATGGCCAAAAAAACCAAAAACATAAAACAGAAGTAATATTGTAACAAATTCAATAAAGACTTAAAAAAAAAAAAAGAAAGAGAATCAATTAGCCTCCGTGTGTGGAAGAGCCCATCTTAGAACTCGCCCCTCTGAGGCTCTTAGATCCCTCCTTCCCATGTCAGTCAGGGCTGACTTTGAAACAGTGAGTGGCCGAGAAGCAGGCAGATGAACATAATATGCAGCTAAGGCGGGTCTGCAGTGTGGAACCAGCACCCCTCAGCGTCCTCAATAATAAAGACCTTCTTTTATTTAGCACGTGGTGTGAGCCTGACATGTGCTGTGTGCTTGTATTAGCTGCATATGTAAGCCTGTAGATTCATCCCCAGTTTTCAGATAAGGAAACTGAGGAGCAAAATGAGTAAGGAACTTGCCCAGATCACCTGGTCAGTTGGTGGGTGAGAGCGCCCGTATCTGACGAAAAGCTTCTGGTGCTTTCTACAATGCCGTGCTGGGTACTCAATGACATTATAATAAGCATAAACTTAGTCTCTTCAGGTAAGTGTAGGTGGGGGAAGAGGAAGATAATTCGTATTTATTGTGTTGGTTTCGCACATTCAATCTCATTTGATCCGTATCACCTACGACGGAGAAGGTATGACCCCCGTGTTACAGAAGGGAAGGAACGTTCCAGTAAGTGAGCCATCCCAATTCTGGTGGAGCCAGAAATTGAACCCGGGCCACCTACTCCAATCCACTGCTCTTTTCATAGCACCGTGGAAACTATTCCTCAAAATGAGTTCCTTACAAATGCTCTGTTTGCCATGTAGCTTGATATGCTAAATATTTCATAACATCCAAAGTTAAGAGAAAATTACATTGATTCCACAAGGCTTTAAAGGCTTCTGCATGGATGGGTAAATGTGATTGTTGTGTACTGAGTCCCGGCAGAATTTTCTCACCAGCAGAGCTGAAGTAAATCCCAGCTTTAATTTCCACCCAGCATTTACCACATAATTCTTCTGACAACATTTTATAACTGGTATTCTGGTCAGCTTTGTAATTAGGATTCCCAACAGAAAGACCCAAATACCCAAAAGATGAGGGATGTTCCCTTTTCTTCTCTGAGTTACACAGATTTAAAGCTTCCAGGGAGGCTACCTGTCAGATAAAACTAGAAGCCCCTGACCCACGGGATACGTGTCTGCACATTAAGGCACATCAAAGAGGCTAAAATTCCCTTCTGAACCTGGATGAGGTTCAAGATAGGGGACTAGTGGAAAAAATTCCCACAGAGATTTGGCGAGGCACAGCGACTACCTCGTATTAATTCCTGGTCAATGACTGCTTCCTAGGAAGAGAATTGGAAAAAGGCAGGCTACCCTGTATTTTTAAAATGCCCACTGGCGTGGAGACAGTGTGTTTGGACAGCGAGGCCCTATTTTATTGTGAATGACCTACACGTCATGCACATGGGCAAGTCAAGGTTAATAGCATAAGGGAACTTGCATCCCTCCCAGAATCATGTTCTGGCTAAAATGTTATTTTAATTCCAAATTCAAATTACATTATGCAAATTGCATCTTTTTGGGGGGGGCGCACAACACATGGCATGTGGGATCTCAGTTCCCCAACCAGAGATCGAACCTGTGCCCCCTGCAGTGAAAGCACAGCCTTAACCACTGGACCACCAGGGAAGTCCCTGTAAATTGCATCTTTACTTTTCTTACATGGGAATTTATTGCCTGCTTTCATGCACTAGCGTTTTCTCTGCTTTCTATCGCCATTTTACCCAATTCTTAAAAAATTTTTTTTTCTTTATCTTCCATTTTTATTTACCTAAATTTAAAAAAATAAAATGAGCAATCTCAAATCTGCTCAGAATATGGTGGGGAAAAAGTAAATGAACGGATCAACCAGTAAGGAGAGAAAGCAGCATATGAGGTGGAAGGATTGACTGACTGATCTCCTTCTAACACAGAATTTTTGAATTGACACCGTAATGTTCAAGGCATTTTCCCAATTGTCCCCCAGGGGGAAAGGAAGCCACTTCAGAAGGAGGATATTTTAACTTGGGAGTGTCCATATTCAAAAGGTTCAAATGTAAGTCATTTAAATGTTGTCTTTCTGGCTTTACCTCCAAAGCATACGGAGAGCACAGCTGCTTACCCTTCCTGGAATCACAAGATTGTCAACGCCAATCAAATCTTTCTTGAGTTCATGCAGCTTCTGGAAATTCTCCATCTTGATCATCGTACCGTGAAGCTGGGCCACCATTTCCGTGATCTCTGCCAAAGCAGCTAAGGAAGGAAACGGACACAAAAGCTGCAGCATTCATGGCAGACGTGGGTCATTTTTCCCCCAATATCTTTAAGATCAGTTCTCCAGGGTAATATCCTCCTGTAGCTGAACTATAACAAAGCCATGCTTCTAGGGAAAACACTGCTAATTCTCAATAATAAAAATTGAGGGATTTACTTTATGTATCGATTGGCTTTGCTTTAGTTTCCCCGAAGCCATCTTGAAAATATCAATGCCCCCTTCAAGCTTGGTGGTGTACAGCTGTCCTTCAGTTAGAATCACTTGTTGGCATAAAGGGGCAGCAGCAAGGGAATAAGAGTGCCTGGAATTCTGTCCCAGGGGCAGAGATTTCCCTCCCTTCCCTGTCACCAGGAAAGAACAGAGCAGAGAGAGCACAGAAAAGCCACAGAAAAATCTAGGGCAAAGGAGGGATCTTTCTGGCAAAGGGTCTAACTGGTAGTGCAGCACTTTTGGGTAATGAACATTCCAACACACCCCGGTTCTTCCTTCTGCAGACATTTATAGTGTTTATAAAATGGTTGTAAAGAACAGCTGCAAACTAAATTTTCCAATGTGGGCACGTCTCCCCTATACCGACGGGCATCCAATATGGAAAAGGAGCTGGTGCCCTGTTAGCACGGGTTTGGGTGGCAGGCACATCCATGGTAGCTGAGCATTTTGGTCTGTTTGTCAAGGGAAAGCAACAAACATTTGTCCACTGAACTTCGATCTTCAGGACAGTAAACACCGCCTCCCCCCCACCCGCAGCACCTCAACTGCGGCAGGAAGCATTCCTTGTTTTTGGCCGTCTCCCTGGGGATGCAAACGAAATGCTTCCTGGCTTCTTATCACAGAATGCTTCTTGTCTCAGCCATAGTGACAAACCCAGAGCTTGCTCCGTCTTTAGACATGACCAGCCGATTTAGTCCAACAAACAATTCCCGGGCACTGAATGTTTAGTGCGGTGGGCGCGCAGAAGCTCTAAGAGGAAAACGGACGGCAGCCTGGCCCCAGACGCATTCCAGAACAGCTCTTGGTTCTCTGCATCCCTCACGTTCAGGAAATCTACATTCAGATATTCCTCGATTTGCCCAGTCTTTCTACAATGATGCCACCTTATGTTTTCAGCTAGGGAACAGACATTTTTGCCATTTAATTGTGAAGAACAGACTTTTCTCAATAGAGACTGTTTAGCATAATAGTAAAATGCAAAACTAGGCAAGGTGGCCTGAGAATAGCACGTGCAAAACTAGAGACATCCCTCTCCCTCGCCCTCACGTCCCTCTCCCTCGCCCTCACGGGTAAGAGATCTACGCAGGTCTGAGTCCTGGGAGCTGGGAAGGGCCCTAGGTCATCTCACCCAGGCACAGCCAAGCGGGACTGCCAATACGGCAGGACAAGGCAGATGGGGGGTGGGGAGGGTCACCCAGCCTTGAGGGTGAGGCACAGATTAAGCCTTAAAAGAGGACTGTGCCAGGGAAAGGACTAGGAGGTAGTGGCAAGGAGTCCCAGCAGAAGGAACAGAATATACTAAGGCACAAGGCAGGGGGCAGCATGGTCTGTTTCAAAGACTGCTGCCGACTATAGCAAGCCAAAACTGCGCCTTGAGCCGTTTCTGTTGCCCTTCCGCGAGCTGCCCACGTCTTAACTACTCTGACACATCTTTTCTTTGGTTGTCTTTCTAAAAACTAAGATTAAGTTTATAATACTTTAGGCAAGAGACACTGGTCTTGACATACTACTGGGTGTGCGAATTCCTGTTATCTGTCAAGAGCCACCTGCGGAGGGTGCATTCTGTGCATGGACTGGCTGCAGAGTGCAGGGGGCCCAGCAACAGGCCTCAGGGCCTGGCCCCCAAGGGGCTGCAGGTCCAAGCCAGGGAGCGTGGACAGTAACAGACCACATGCAACGCGAGGCAGAGGACACAGGTTCAGAAAGACGACGCGTGGCCCAGTGGGAAAAGCATGGTCTGGAATGCCAGCTCTGCTCTCTTGCCAGCTGAGTGACACTCACAAGTCCTTCACCCCCTCTGAGCCTCAGTATTCTTATCTATAAAATGGGATAACAACAGTTCTCTCATGGGGTTGTTAAAGGATTAAAGGTGTTAGCGTAAGAAAGATACCTGGCAGAGTACCTGGCCCAGGTGCTGAGCGAGGAACAGTGAGTAATATCATCATGAGCCAGTAGGGAGGGTAGGATGGTCGAGAACATGGGTTCTGGGTTTAGGCTACATGTCCTTTACTTTCCAGCTGTGTGACTCTGGGCAGGTTCCTTAACTTCTCTGGTTCAGTAGCCCCCATATGTAAAATGAGCTCACCACTGTCTCATAGGCTTCTCGTTAAGACTGAGAGTTAACACAGGTGAAATGCTTATTGGGGGACCTTAAAAACGCCCCACAGCAATGAGGAACAGTGTTTATTACCAGCCGTTTTCTGTGGCCCATCCAAGGGGAGGTGATGAGTCTCCACCATGGAGGTAGAGGAAAGCTTCCTGTGAGGGGCTGACTCTAAGTGGAGCTTCTCCAGGGTTCTGTGCACTAAACCAGGCAGGATGGAAGGAGAAAATGCATGCAAGAGGGGATGGAAAAGAGAAGCCATGGTGATCACTACCGCCTTCTTTACGTGAAAGACCAAAAGGGGACAGAAAATATTTGACCAGGTCCTAAAAAGCGCATCTGCCCCTGTTGGGACACAGTATCCCCGAGACACCCTGCCCCCCCAAGCACTCACCTCGGCAGTCCCTGAAGTCAGTGTGGCTGGGCGGGTGGTGCTTGCACAGCCGCTCCAGGACCTGCTTGTAGTGCATAAGCCGGTGCAGCGGGCGCAGGAGGAAGGTGTTGAGCGACAGGTAGCACACCTTCTGCAGCTCGAAGTCTCGGCACAAGCTCTCCAGCCGCCGGGAGCCCCGGATGCCGGTCTCCAGCGCCTCCAGAGCCTCGCTGTGCTTCCACAGATGCGCCGCCAGTTGCTGGTGGGCAAGACACGGGAGCGGGTGGGGCAGGGAGCCGGGGAGACAAAAGGGGGGAGGGGGAGGGGGAGGGGCGGAGTCCTGCTCAGCCACATGGTCCACCCATTTTAACACTCAAAAGAGATCACCTTCGCTTTCATTACTTCATTCCATTTACTTAATTTCATGTTTTTAATATTTCACTATTTAACTTCTCAGGATGGAATAAAACGCTCTATTAAAGCATTGCGCAGTTTAAAATACGCAGGGATTATAAAATATTTGAGATGTATATATAACATTAGAGGTATACATGTCCTTTTAAAAGAAGACCGGCAAAACGGAGGGGAAATAGAACAATGGGAACTCCTCCAGGGGGCTTGGGGTTTTCTCCTAAACATCAAAAAACGACAAATAGGCCAGGGCCACTGAATAAACGTCATATAGTTAAAACTACATATTTCTGTTTAACTCCCCCCCAATTTGCTCATGTAATAATTGAGCATATCCTGCTCTGCTGGATTCCGGGGAGCGGATGGGAATGAGACTCAGTCCTTCTCTACTGGGGTCTGACCGAGATCCTTTGCCTGAGCAAACTTTTGTCAGCCTCCTGAAGCTTCTCCCAGGCCAGCCTGTGCCCTTCCTTGTACAATCCCGTTTTGGTGAGAACCCGGCTAAGTCAGTTCAGCCAGGACCCTCCACCCTGGATACCTGGTCACCCTTGACATTGGGGTCTGCATCCCCCGCCGTCCCCAGGTGATGTCTGAGCACCCCACTTGTCTTCGGCAAAGAATCCTGTTAAGTCGGTCCAGCCAGAGTCCCCGCCTCACGACTGTGATGTTTCGTCACAGAAATTTCCCATCCTCTGAGTCCCGCCCTGCTCCTTGGCTGTAGATCCCCACTTGCCCCCGGTGCACTTGGAGCTGAGGCCAATCCCTCTCTCCCACTGTAAAATCCCACTGCAGTGTCCCCATACCTACGGCAACGGCCCTGAATAAAGTCTGCTTTACCGTAGTTAACAAGTGCTGTTGAATATCGCTCTCCTTGAACAGGTGGTGGTGGAGACAGACGCGGGGCAAGAAGCTTGACAGAGCGTTCAGGAGGAATTAACTCCCCACGCAGCTGTCGTCCTCACGTCTTACCCCATCAGTATTTCCCAGAGGTGGGCTCACTACCCGTGTGCTGCTAACTCCCATATGTGGATTCCCCATCCCGGCACCTCCATTCCCACGCTCCGCAAAGAGCGGGAACCGCAGTGAGTCCAGACACCAACCCGATACCCACTGCGGCAACTGAGGCTGCCCCGTGATCCTCTAACCCCAGGATGGGTGCCGTCACCAACCGCCTACTCAGGACAGAAAACCTGGATAAGATTCCAGATCCCCTCATTTTCTGAAGCCTTCACCAAGTCCCGCCAACTCTACCTCCTAAAAACAGCAAGCCTGTTCCTGGCTTCACCCCATGGTCACTGCCCTTGTGTTGGCCACTGCAATGGTGTCTCCATCGGGGTCTCTGTCTCCACTCCTGACACCTGACTTTCGAGTGCCACCAAAAGGAACTTACACCAATGCAAATGGGCACATCGTCTCTTGCTTGGAATGCGACAAGAACGTCCACCCTCTCAGGACAAACTCCAGAGTTGTCGTTAGGGCACACGGGGCCCTTAGCATGTAACCCCTTCTGCCTCTCCATCATGGCCTCTTGCTACTCGCTCTGGACACCCATTGAAAAACCTGCCCTTGAATGTGCCGGGCCCTGGCACCCAGAACCTTGGCACAGGGCGCTCTGCTCCTAAGACACGCCCCCCTCAGCCCCCCCCACCTCCGTCCTTCAGGGTCAGCTCTGGGGCCTTCCCTGCTCTCTCTTTCCTCCTGGGCTTATTGTCCATCTTAGCCTTTATCACGTGGTCTCCCTGCTGACTTTATTTTGTGACTTTAAAAAAACATATATAGATTCATAGGAAGTTGCAAAGACAAGTACGGGGGGCGGGGTCCTACGTACCCTTCAGCCGGCTTCCCCTAACGCTCACATCTTGCCTAACTACAGCACAATATCCCAACCAGGACGTTGACACTGGGACAAACCAGAGTTTATTTGAATTCTGCCAGTTATACCCACCCTCACGTGTGTGTGTGCATGTGCACATGTAAGTATGTGGCATGGGTGTGCGTGCGTGTAGCTCTATGCAGTGTTTTCACACGTGAACTCCCTTATTTGAGAGAGGGCGTCTGTCCTGTCACTACATCCTTGGGGCCTGATATACACCATAGGTGCTCCACAGATGTCTGCTGCCTGCATGCATTAATGAGCAAACGAACCAATGCATGCACCCCGCTCAGAAAGGGGTCTTGCAAGGCCCCGAGTGCCTGGAGAGGTGGAGTCAAGGTCATTGGAGCACAGAGTAGAATGTGAAGGACGGGAGGTGGAAGGTGAAAGATCATCTAGGGAAGGCTTCCTCGGTCAGGTTTAGAGCTTGGACTGTATTCTCTAAACCACAGAGAGACCAGGTGGGTTTGAAGCCTAGTCGGTCTACGATATCAATGGTGGTTGGGGAGGACGGGTGGACGAGAGGCAGCTGGTGAGTCAGCTGGGAAAGAGAACTGAGAGGCGATGGGAGGGAAGCGGGAGGGTGAAGGAGGAGAGGGGGCAGGCGGTAGAAGCTCAGGAAGACAGGGCCCGGGAGGGAGGGTCACAGCCTGACCGGCAGGGGAGGGGTCCAGGTAAAAGGCGAGGGCTCCTTGGCCTGCGTGGACTGTGAAATGCCTTTGGGCATCTGGGCAGATGTTTCCAGTTGAAAGTTCACAGCCCGGGCTAGAGATCATCATCTGGATAGCCTCTGACTTTTAGGCAGGGATTGGAGCCCCTGGCCGGCTCCCTCGGTCCCGTGCAGAGAGTCTGGGGACAGCTGCAGGGTCGATGTCAGCATCCCTGCTGAGCCCCTGAACATGTGCAGGTAAACGCACAGGTGGGGGGATGAGCGGGAAAGACACTGCAAGACACCCGAAGCATTCTGGACAAAAGTGCCAACCTGGGCTTCTACATGTCCAGAACCTTCTGCTGTTCCCCTCCACCCTTCATAAAAATTCTTTAAAACCGACAATAACAACCACAATAAAAAAACGACCCAATTTCTCCAAAAGGCTGCCAGCGGCTCTCCGAGCCTCTCCATCTATTTCTATTCTGCCTGCAGAGTTCATGCTATAAATGCTGGTGGCACTGGCACAATAATTAAAACGCTAGCACAGCCGAGGGTTAGCCGACTACGTGCAAAAATGCCAGCTCACTAGACTGACGGGGAAAGAATTGCTCTGGGCGGAAATCAGGTCTATTTTTAGGAGGGCTTAGGTGCTAGGTGACCAGAGAGGAGGACGGATGTCTACCGTAGGGCACCCTTCCGCCAGAGGGACACGAGGGGAGGTGGCAAACAGGAGAACTCTGGGGCTGTCCCAAGGGGGCGGGGACCGAGCTGGCAGGTGTCTGCCACTGCCCCGAGGTCCATGGAGGAGCCCAAGCCTCAGCTGAGAGCCCCCATCCCAGGCAGGCAGAAGGCAGCACCATGAGAAAAGGTAAAAACCAAACTGGGCCAAGAAAAAAAGTGCAGAACGTGGGGAGAGCTTCCTATGAGGAGAGTCAGGAAGTACAACAGTAACAGAAATGTGTTATAGAAGAGAGAAAAAAGGCTATTTTTATCAAGCGAGAAAAGCCAGTCTGAAAAGGCTACACTGGGTGAGTCCAACTATATAACATTCTGGAAAAGACTATGGAGACGGTAAAAGATGAGTGGTCTGCAGGGGCTGGGGGAGGGAAGGGATGACGGGTGGAGCACGGAGGGTTTTTAGGGCAGTGACACTGTCCTGTGTGATGCTGTCACGGTGGGTTAGTGCCGTTCCGCCCTTAGCGAAACCCATGGAATGTAAGACACGAAGAGTGAACCCGAATGTAAACTATGGATTTGGTTAATAATAATATATCAATACTGGCTCATCGGTTGTAACAACTACCCCACACCAGGGCAAGATGTTAATACTAGGGGACAGAGACAGAGTGTGTGTGTGTGTGTGTGTGTGTGTGTGTGTGTG